AATTTTGATCAAATATTCCGAGAAGATGCAGGTGAACTTGCAGAACAAAATAATAAACATAGACATACACGTACCTGTTATAAATACGGCGAAAAGTGTCGTTCACATATGCCACGAGAGCTCATTGCTAAATCTGAAATTAATAGCGTCACCGGTACTATTTCAATGAAACGTAACCATAAATGGATCAATAATTATAATGAATGGATCATTTCGGCCTGTCGTTCAAATATGGACATAAAGTTTGTATGGTCAGGTTGTGACGCCAAAGCGTTATCATATTATATCACAGATTATATTACTAAATCAAATGTATCATTCCATGATAACCTGGCACTATTGGTAAAAGTTCGGAAGGATTTTGATGAAAAACACTCAAATCCACCTGATAATAATAATATTCATGAACGTTCAAGACGTTTACTTCTTAAAATGCATAATACATTAGCATCTCAACAGGAATTATCAGGTGTCCAAGTGGCTTCATACATATTAGATTTTCCAGATTATTATACAAATCATGAATTTCAAAAAATTTGTTTGATTGCTATTGAGTATTATTTGGAAAAATGTCTTCATGATGCTAAGAATCACCAAAACAAGGAACATATGATTGATGACAGTAAGTACTTATAGTAGATATTTCTTGCACAAATTTATACATACTTTTCTTCATTCAAGATCATGCAGAAACTCCAGTAGATAACTTTCAAGATAACGATTATCATAATATGAACGAACAGTTTTTGATTGAACCATCTGATGATAATAAAATAGTTCTTATAAATACTCGAATTGATTACGAGTTGCGAAGCAACAAATTAGAGAACTATTGTTTGTACGATTATATTAGTTGGTTTAAAAAGAAGATCATAGATAAAAACGATCAAATTTTTTTGGCACAAACAAAGGAGCAAACTGTTTCTGTATCACGTGGTCGTCCAGCCAATGATCGCTACAAGTTTCTACCAAAACATCCACAATATTCTTCACATATATTAATGAAATGGACCAAACCACGAATACCAGTATTGATTGGACCGATGATTCCTCGTCGTGAACGTGTAGACACAAGAGAGCGATACTGTCGCGCTATTTTAACTCTGTTCGTACCATGGCGTTCAATTTCTGATTTATGCAATATTAATCAAACGTGGGAAGAAGCGTTTAACACGAAACAAAATCTTATTACTCCTGACATGCGACGAATAATTGAAAACATCCAACTTTTACACGAATGCAAGAAAGATCGAAACGAACATCTCCTTCAACTTATTCAAGAAAGTAATAGTGGTGATATTGATGGACAAGTCGTTTTGCAGCAGGAAACAGATGATAATAATAATGATGATTATTTTATGAATGAAGATGATGTAGATCAAAACGATATTTTGAACTTAATTGCCGATATTGATGATACTGCACATGAATCAACATTTCCATCAACGATCATGAAGCCCGAGATTGCTTATTTCAATGATTTATTAGCTTCAGTAACGAATGCACATCGTTTTCCATACTTAAACGGTAAGCAATAATATATTTTTATTATTTGAATAATGATTGTCAGTACTCTCGATATATTCTTGAGATTTGCGAATTTAGAAATATCATAACTCTTGTCAGCTGATAAAAATCAATATTAAAATTGATCAGTTCTTAAACTCTAACAACATTGTCAGTAGAACGAAATTCTATCGTATTCTATTTCAGGTATATTCACTTGAGTTCAAATGAATTTTTGAGAGTTGTTCAGAAATATATTGTCTAAATATATATTTGATGTTTTATTTCAATCTTTCCAATTTTTCTATTACTAGAATTCAATGATTTTCATGGTGATCAACTAACTTTATATGGAAATAACAATCATAAAGACCATTTGATACTTTCTACACCACAAATGCTAAAACAAAATAAAAAATGGCAACTTGATCTTCAAACTGAAAGACAAAAAGTTCGGGAGATTACTATACATGGTTCAGAGATCAATGACTTCAATGAAAACTCCTCTGTAGATAAAACAGTGATGACTGTCATAAGAAGTGATTCTCTAATGGATGTCAATAGTTGTAGTGAAAATCAAGATAGCAACATAGAATCTGTTACTACAATAGTTGCACCAATTATTGCACGAGAACAAATAATAAAAGACTTTACTTTGAATGAAGATCAAACTCGAGCTTTTCTAATTATCACGTCTCATCTGGATCAAGACAGTTTTTTAAAGACAGGTATCGGTAAGTCACTTCATATTTGATTTTATATATTTCTAGTTTTTATGCATATCTTGTATATAGATACTATTCAAAAGCAACTTCTTATGTTTGTGCCTGGACCAGGTGGTACTGGGAAATCTCAGTTAATTGGTGCACTTTCTCAATATTTCTTACTGACAAAGCGATCTCACAAATTACGTAAATTGGCTCCAACTGCAATTGCTGCAACCAATATTGATGGCATGACTATTCATTCTTTTCTTAAACAAACAAGAAAAACATCAAAAAAGAAACAAACATCAACTTCAATAGATGATTCCATTAGAAATGAATGGCGACATATAGAATATATCTTTATAGATGAAATATCAATGGTTGGGTTGCGGCTTTTCGCCCGTTTTCATGAATTATTAACAATTGCTAAAAGTTCTGATCCAAGTGTACCATTTGGTGGTATTAACATAGTTTTATTTGGTGACTTTATACAATATTCACCTGTTTTGGATAAAGCATTGTTTACAGACGTTTTTGTGGAAGTAGAATCATCACTTACAAGTTCTGTATCAGAAAAGCAACAACCATTTAGTGAACATCAAATTCAATGTCAAGTTGGCCGAGCGCTTTTTCTTCAATTCGATGTTGTTGTCAAACTTACAATTCAAATGCGTGTGGAAGATAAAGATTATTCAGATGCACTCGATCGAATGCGTCTTGGGGAATGTAAATTACAAGATTATGATTTATTTCGTTCCTTGGTAGTCGGTCGACAAGATGGTGTTCATTCATTATCCAATGGCTCATGGAGCAATGCACCTATTTTAGTTTATCGAAATGAAATTCGTACTGAATTGAATAATCGTGCAGTGATTAATAAATGTCGTGAATTAAATTATCCATTAGTAGTGTGTCTTGCTCAAGACAGAGTTAAATCGAAAAAAATTGATGATAAAAATCTTCAACAGCTACGTCGTTTTCTTTTATCACTACCTGATAATAAAACAGAATCACTTCCTGGTTATTTACCATTAGTTCCAGGAATGCCTATAATACTGACCGATAATATTGCAACTGAACTTGGCCTTTCAAATGGAACTCAAGGAATATTTCATCAAATTGTATATGAAGAATCCGACTCCAATGTCCTTTATTCGGATGCTAAATTTCCGAAAGGTAATGTTTCTGATTTTTACTTTTATACCTTTGAGTACAAAACAGTTGACTACATCATTCATGAAATTTATTTATTGTTAAACCATATGTTTTCTCCTTTTCTAGATACAAGGAGAATGTATAGGTTTTTCACATATTTTTATTTAGGAAAGCTATTAAAACGTTTACTACAGTAATATAGCCATCGACTTTATGAACAATAACGAATTATATTTATTCACCGAAAACAAAGCATATCAGTATCATTTAAGTAGTGTCCCTATAATAATTTTCTTCAGTTGGTTAATCTCACTATATCATGTACTTAGTGATCTAACGTTATTATTTTTGCAGCACATTTATTGTTCTTTTCAGGATTGAGTCGAGCGAGGTCCAAGGGACCGACGCGCTACTTGTGTTTGAGACACATTTCTTATTTTTCAAATATGAATACATAATTTAAATGGAAACTCTAAACTATCTGAATAATTTAGAAACTTCAGTTATCTAGTTTGCATTTTAGACTCTCTTTACCCATGTGTTTCGTTAAAAATAACTTCATTATAAGAAATATATGATGTCATATTTGTGTCGGTTATTGATAATCGATTTTCTCTATCCTGAAATCTTTAGTCAAACTTTAAAAGAAATCATTTTCATCAAATAAAATCTTTATTTAGCCGAGAAATAAGTATCGTACGTTTTACTACGCGTGACTATCCGTAGTCTATTTCGTTGAGTAAAGATCGAATTTTATCTCTACTATCTGTACTTCATCTATGGTGTTTGACCGTAGCACAAACTTATTTTATTTTATATTATTCTCAAAACTTGTAATTCGATGTAAAAAATTGTTAAACAAACTGAACTACACATTACTCCGATGTTCACGAGAATAAAATCTTTTATTTGATTCAAACATCAATGAAATCAGGAGCTTTTTTCTCTTTCAATTAATCAATGGATGTCTAGAACACATGAGGTTTTATGTATCTTACGTTGTGCTTGTCGAAGTTGTTCTCTAAGTTGTTGAGTCTCATATTGTGATTCATGTTGAAATTGTCGAAGTTGTTCCCTAAGACAGATTCTGTCAGAATGATGTGTAAGCACATCATTTTGTCTACAAACAATTTTGCAATCTTCACATGTCATTAGAACAGATGCACATTTAGATTGATGTTCAGTCAAATCCTTTTGTAACATTTCTAATAGACAACCAGTACATTTTACAAGTTGATAGCCACATATCATCTCATGTTTTTCGAGTGCTTCATATAAAATGACCTAGAGTGAATGATTTTTAATGTGATAACAGAAATGAAAACAATTGAATCAACCTCATTACAACCATTAGGTTGATAAATACAAGCGATTTGCAATTTGGCCAATTGTCTAGCAATGAATTTTGAGCATGATCGTTGAATGAAATTATCGCATCGCATCGGACATTGATTCGGATTGTTTCCTAGCCATTTTGTGATACACATTGAACAGAAATGAGTTTCACATTGTTGACAAGCGACTGGTTTCCATAGAATATTTTCACATATTGTTGAACAATGAAGATCACTTAAATCAATTTCCGATGAACATTGAACACGTTCAGTCTCAAGTCCTATTTCATTTGTTGATGACATCTAAATAATCAACAAATAATTCAATTATTTCATATATTTTTTTCTCAGGTGAAGTTGATGGTGTAGATGGTAGACAATCTCCCCCTCATCCTCATGAATCAACAAATAAGCACGTATAATATTATTCTGCAAGAGATACACCTTAGTATTGCTATACGCATTGGATAATAAAAACAAAAAAATTCTATAACGGAGGGTCTTCTACAATCATGATTAACAGTTCGATAATGAATCCAAGTGGCTACGTGGAAAAAGTATATATAATATTGAAAAAGAATGGACTGTGTAATAAAGAGCAACAAGACATGAACAACATGAAATGAGGAAAAGGTTCGCTGCAGTTGACTAACTAAGAGACTGTAAAAATTGGACGAAAATGTGAAACGAATGGAAAAAAAAGAGGCGAAACTAACGGATGGTGGTTGGTATGCTCATATGTGAGACAAGCGAATAATAATGTGAAGCAAAACGCAATCATGGGTGATGAATAATAATATGACGTGGGAAGCAAATAGAAAAATCTTAGCTACGTTCGTCAGAGGTAATGTAAGAGCAAGTTAGACTGGGTTAACACAGACAAATGTCAACATAAGAAAAAGAAAGTTGAAAACGAATTCATGTAGTAGAAAAGAATATATGAAGAACTGTCCTTGATATGATAGTTGATGTGCTCACTAAAGAAAAGGGAACAACAAGAACGTCGCTTTTTTTTGAACAAAAATATATACATTGATTTATTTCTCAAAAACATCACATTTCGAAAGTTTATAGAATCTAGATTATAACAAATGACTATAACATTCACATCAACACTCTACATTTACAATAGCTTTTGACTGTAAAAAAGTTCAGTATATAATATAAATTGAGAATTTTCATACAGCGAATTATTCACATGTGTTTAATAGAGTATACAATTGCATAATTCAGCATTGCTTACTTCTTATCTCATTTCTTTATTTTAACGAAGAAATAAATATTTCGATACAATAATAGTTTTATACTAACTAAAAAATAGCTCTGTCAGATAATGATCATGTTGCATGTGTGGCAGTCAAGTTCTTGTATTGCTCATTTCTCTCCTTGTTGTGTGCTTCATGAGCAGTCATTGCTTGGGCAAAGACCTGTTGAACTATAGGAATGTTATGATCCGCTCGTTGATCCACCTTTTGTATTTCGGCAGAGCGTTCATCTTCATTTTCTAGCATGAGATCGCTCACCATGCTGGAGATGTGTCGTGTAATTGCATTTATAGACACTCCATTGTAGGTGGATGCTATACTAGAGAGCAAGTTTGCCGATTCATCTACGTCACTTAACACCCAGAAAAATGCGTTTCTATCATTGATGAACTAAAATTAACGAATTTTATTAAAGAAAATAGATAAAGAAGAGAATATATTACCTGCAACGCTTGACTAGCTTGAGAAATAAGCTTTTCGGCATATTGAATCATCTGATTCCACATGGAATTTAACGATTTGAAATTGTTAAGAATAACTGTTATACTCGTTGGATGATTAATGTCCAAAGATGATTTGTTCGCCTGTGTCGAAGTCGAACCACTGGGACCAGATGTGGTTAATGGTGATGGTAATGGTTGCATTGCTTGAAGCAGCTCTTCAAAGAAAGCCACTACTTGGTCTAGAGCAGTAGTAACTTCTCTAAAAGCCGAAGCTGCATCTTTGCCCATTCTGGCGATGGCATTAAGCGTAGTTGGAAGAAAAACTTTTCTATCCTCTGTCGTGCCATCGAACAAAGCACTTAAAGCTGTATTTAACTGACTAGACACTTGGTTCATAATCATCTGGACACGAGAAGTGCTCGACTCAGCTGTTCTCATTGCACGTTCGACAAAGTTAGTTGCTTGAGTTAAAGTGGTTCGATAGGATGAAGGATAAGTGATGTAGTTGTAAGGATGAGACATATCAAGTGTGTAGTCTCGACGCGATATCACGATGCACACACGAGAAAGTTCGGTGATTGTCCGTATTGCAATCACAGGGAGATCTACCCATGTATTCGTTTTGGTAGGATTTGTCGATGAGCTTACAATCACAGTGCTGCTCTGTGAAGAGGTAAGAGCTACAATTGCACTGAAAACAATGACTAAGACAAACATTTTTCTTCTAGGTATTTTGAATATGATTCTCGAAATGATGAGGAATAAAAAACGCTTATATATATATAGTTTTCTCCAGATGTTCATCTTCCCAGATTTTTTCTTCTCTTCTATAGATAAGATACGGCCTACACAGAATATTGCCTCAGTCAAACTGATACATTCAAACCGATTCGATTTTAGTAAGATTAAAGTGCGAAATTATTCATTCTCGTGTATATTGCCTTTAATATCTGCACATGTTGTTTTTCTGATCATTGACTAAAGTGCACTGGATGAAGATTTATAAGTTTTTGAAATTGATAGTTTTGTGACTAAAATGCACGAAATATAAGAAAAACAAATGTTACTATGAATATATGACTGAATGTGTAGATATTTTCCATTACATTTCAATAATAAATAAAATCTTTCGTAAAATATTTGATTATAAGAGTTATTGTATCTAATATTCGACGTACACAAGAAACTAGTAATCATAAAGAAATTTTCAAATTATGTTTAAATAACTATACTTATTTCTATATTCAAAATATTTTTTTCATAAAATCCGAAATAAAATGAGGATGTGAATATTTGTCTATTATATCATCCACGTTCTCAGGTTCGGAGGAAGCGAATATTTCTTGTATATTCTATGAGCGATTGGTATATCTAGTGTTCAAATTTATTTGAAAAGGGTTGATTGCATCTAGTTTATAAGTGGTTATAGTCACTGTGTCCAAATTATTTCTTCAAGCCAAAATCTTAGCGGATGACACCAACTTGAGGGCATCGGTCAGCGCATGAAGAGGGCTCGTTGGTATGTCAGTAGAGCGCCACGCGATATATCCATCAGGGCGAATCAAGCAGGCGCCTGTCGTTCCCATACCAAAAGCCGTACGAAACGCTTCTAAATCGGCCGGTATTACATCGGTGCCGATTTGAAAGCACTTTATTTTTATGTCAAGCTGTTCGCTAGTTTTCGCTGCAGCCGTACACCAACGCTCATCTTCCGCAAGTACCACCCAGCTAGATTGGAGTAGATCAAGTGTTGAGAGTCGTTTCCCGTCTTTTGATACCCAAACATGTGGCGCCCGCGTTCCAGGCTGACCGGCCCATTGGTCAGGTCGTAATGCTGGTGGAAGCTTCTCACCAGCACCTAGCACTGCCGAAGATCTATACAATTGCCCAAATTCTATCGCTTGCTCATCGATGATTGGTACATCTTTTGCTGTATCATTGGCGTCTGCCTTGTAATCCATTCGCACGAATATCTGCTGGTGACGAAGTTGTGCGACTGGACGCCGTTCAGCGTCATAGGTGTCGAGCAATTTTTCTGTCGATGTACCAGACAATACGGACGATAGCTTCCATGCGAGGTTGTGCGCATCATCAATACCTGTGTTTGCACCATAGCCACCGCGACTAGGTGGCAACGTATGAGCTGCATCTCCAGCAAGAAATATCCTGCCAGATGCAAAACTATCTGCAACAAGTGCAGTTATCTCCCAATGACCGGTTGTGAGAATCTCGATCTCCAGATCTGATCTACCAATCGCCTTAGAAATCATTGTTCTCAGTGATTTTTCGTCACGTTCTTTGTCGTCTGAAAAGATCAGAACCCATCGACCGTCCCCGTACGTGGTGAGAAAAGCTTCGAAGTCCGGCTGTTTTATTTCGAATTGCGTAACACCTGCCCGAAGATATTCTTCAAGGTCAGCGCGAAATAGAACACTTCGTACAGATCGAATATGACCACGTCCACTGCGACTGATACCCAACGCAGTGCGAATTGGACTACGATGACCATCTGCCGCCACCATATAGGCGGCTCGTAAAGTGTATTCCTTTCCATTTCGCTCACGCAACCAAGCAACAACACCGTTGGCATCTTGTTCGAAGCGGATGTGCTCGGTATTAAATCTGACATCGGCACCAAGTTCGATCGCCTTCTCACGAAGGATCGGCTCGAGACGGTCTTGGGCGATTGCGGCGCCCCTGCATGGTGAGTACTCAACTGGTTGTGTCTGTTGTGTCTGTTTTGTTGGTGGTGTGTATGGGATTTCTTCGAACCATTTTCCTGACAGACTTTCAGCTTTCGCGCGGCGGAGTCGGAAATTTGCAGGTGCTTGCGGAATACGTGATTCGAGTCCAACGGCACGAAATAGCTCTAGTGTTCTTGGTGTGTAGCCAATTGCTCGAGGATGCAGTGAACTTCCAGCATGTCTTTCGACTAGCACAGTTGGTACATCTCGCGAAGCTAAGAACAATGCTGTTGATAATCCAACCAGTCCACCTCCAACCACCAGTACCGATTTTGGATGCGTTTCGATAGATGAAACTCCTATAAAAGTTAATAATTCTTAAATTGATACGTTGGATAATTAATGATCTGTACTGTTTTTGTCATAGATACGAAATGTAGAATGCCCTTGTCCATCCAATTGTTAGATGATTCACTTTCTTCTTCTTTTTCAACTGCTGAGCTGAAGGCGAGTTTATATGTATGATTATCCTCACAGCTTAGTCTTAGTAATACTAGCTTTTCTTCTCAGACGTTGAAATTTTGCTTTAGAACCTTACTCTTGATTACATGAGCGAACAGTTATGTCACTCGACTTACAAAAACGTAGACAAAAATTTAACGTTAAATTTTGAGAAGGAAAAATATTTCTCTATTTTACTAACCTGTTTGAGTACGTTTGTGAAACGACCAGGTGATTTTTGTTCCACACAATGCGACTCGACGAACGTTAGCGACAGTTGTGAGCATTCTAAAAAGCAGTAATTTTGATCTGTGTAAGAATTTCAAAAATTCGAAATGTTATAGTTCTCCACCAGAACTCAACTTTACCACAGCATACAAAACTTTTTGCAAGTAAAAAGTTTGATCTATATCTATTTTTAATTTCAATGTATTCCCTCCATCTTATACATACAAGTTAACTTCTGAAACATGGCAAACGTCAGAATCCAATATTCGCATTTGGCGTTCACTTGAATAAGCTCGAGAGCTAGTGTCTGACTAAACAATCTTGTCTTTCTATGTTTCGATAGAACTATTGCTCCTGTTCATGATTAGAGTTGTTTGAAATTCGATAACTTGCAGAACGTATGTGAAACGTCAACGTTGTTTCACATACCGATTATTCAACATGAAAGCTTTCTTATCTCAGATTCTGTTAGATTTCTATAGTTAAAACAGATATTACTGAAACCATGCATTTTTTTCTTTTTAACACATCATATACTTGTATATAGTACTGATTAGTTTTATTGAGTGGCTGAATTCTTTCTCTTAATCATCCAACCAGACTAATCAGCACCATAACATTCAATCTAACATTGTACACAATCTAAAGATTAAATATAAACTTCATTTCAATAAATATTTGCTCGCTTTCTACAGCAAAAACAAAGATGACTCAGAATATCAAAAACTTATATAGAGCAAAACAGTTAAAAACGACACGTTCATATTGAACTAGATGAACGATCTGCAATTCTAATTCTATAATAACAAAATATCCTAAATAATAATAATGTATGAATCTACTTTCAAAATAAACGACATTTTCGAAAATTTATCCTACTTCAGTCACCTGAACTATCACATACTAACATATAATTAAAGTTCGTATTTAAAAAGCTAAAAATATCGTGAATGCATGGATAAGTTTTTAGAAAATAACTGGTACCTCTAAAGTGTATTTGAAAAGAGAAGAGAAATAGATTCTGAACCGTCTCAGTCAAAAAAATGCATGCTGTATAAAACGTTACTTCACTGTGTATGCATCAAAAAAAGAAAAAAAAATAACGACCTTGTGACAAAAAAACGTTGAGAGAGAAAGAAAAAGTGCAAGTGAGATAAAGAATACGCAAAAGAAAAAAGAAAAACACTCTAGTTAAAAACATCATAAAATAAGTCGTGTTTACTTGAAATAAGATAAAATAAGTAAAAGGAGAGAAGATGATAATATCATAGACATGATCATGAATGTTAGTGACACAATATCGTTTAATGAAAAGAGAAACACAATTTACTAATTTTTTAACTCTCGCTTTTCAGCAATCGATTAGTAAATCGAAAATGAATCATATTTTGAAGATGAATATTATTAACCTCAGAATTCGATAAACAAATGTAGTTTTATCTTAAGATATATCTTCAAGTAACTACATGTTTTATTTTTAGTAAATAAAGATTATTCATGTAAACAATATTTATTTCGTTGATATTAATTATTCATTTGATTTGAATAAAGAATAAAAAAACACTATATTAGTTTAAGTATTACTAGAATAGTCAAATATATTGTGAGAGTGTGAATGTGTTAACTATCACTACTCATATCCTCAAAAATTAAATTTAAATCTATCTCATGCAATTTTCATTGCAATTGATTAGGAGAAATATTTCTATCATTACTGACAGTCCTCGTAATTACTGTAGTTATTAGTTTTTTATTTTCGTAACTTTTCGACAACAAAGTTGCGGTTGTTGGACTATTTTATTTAAATATGAAGGATATTTCTTTTTTTCTTTCTTTTTCTCTTTTCTTCCTTAACATGTTATACTAGGATGGAGTAAGAAAAAAAATATCCAATAAATTCTACTTATGTCATCGTTCTGCGTTCTCACTATTATACGTTGACGAAGACAAGAAAAAAAAAGAAAAGTTGTATATATTTAAACAAATTAGTCTGATAAAGGTAGTGTGGTTACCAAAAATGTTACTAAGACAATAAAAAAAGAGGCATCTATTGCGAACACATAACTTCAGTGCTGTAGTGCATGTTTCTGTAATTTTAATAAAAGGAAATATACGTTGTCACATTTGCGATGGAAAATACTGTTTAGTTGACGACCGCAAAAAAAAGAGAACTTAGTTAATTTATGTATTACGTCAAGATGAAACATTTAGTTGGTAAAGCATACAGCTTATTCTACTGCGATGATTAGAAACTCTAGAGTGAGAAGAATTTTCAATTCTCGTGATGAGAATATTACCGATTTAACTTCATCTCTTTATGAACTTGAACCCTTTGATTCTATTGTACATGCATTAAGATGGAAACAGATCAAAGCACGTATACCTTTGTGTATGAAAAAGACATTACGTAATCGATTTATGTTGCCGAACATTATCTATGTAGGTTATACAATTACTCTTTTATCCATTGATTTTAATGCAAATCTAAACGCATTATTGAGCAATAATACATTAGTTAAGAATGTTAAAACTACTTCGAATATCAGCACAATATTAAGAACATCAATTCTTGATCAGCCAATACAAAACAATCCATATATGAATCGACTTTATATCGGTAAATTTTGATTATTATCACACGAATGTCACATCATTACAATTAGTCTCAAATTTTTATATTTTGTATTCAAATTCGTTTCATTATTTGTACTCTTTCATTGGTTGCACTAGATATCTTCATAAAAGGTTGTGTGCAGTATAGAAATTGCTTCTATATTCAAAGATACTTTTTTCAACACCTTTCATCAAATATCGCATGAAATGTGTTAGATCAGTCTTCATGAAGAGATTAATATTTGATTGAGAGTATGTGTCAGCTGGTAAGAATGTAAATGTCGATAAGAGAAACTTTTCAAAAATGATTTTATTTGACTATAAACAGGCAGTTTCTGTTCAACAATAATGTCTGAAAATCGTAGGGCTTGATAGAGAATCGAATATTGCATCTAGTACAACCGATAGAAGTGAGAATATGTTATATTTTAGGTTTGGCTATTGTTAGTTTAATTATGGGCTTTCTCTATTGTTGGGCTTGGCGTGATCGATCAGTATTTGATATTATAATGATACCTGAATATTTGAGTCTAATTCAATCAGGACTTTATCTTTGGTCTGCTTCTTGGTATTCAAAACAAGATACTCTTGGCGGTTATTATACTATAGCAGTTCATAAAATCGAACTTACTGCATCTGTAGTTGGATTGTTTGCTGCAATAGGATGGTAAGTAGAAAGCATTGCCTAATAAAAGAAATGTTTTATGAGTTCTTAAATTACGAAGGACTTATTAGTGCGCCTCTATGTATATTTATTGTATATTTACACGTCAGGTTATATCAAAAGAAAATCACATACGTGTATGAGATACGCAAAACATGCTATTATCATATCATATGTGCCGATTTTCCTTGATAACAATGATATCGATATTAGCATCTATATATATAGAAAAATTAAGTTTTGTCAGATGTTTTCGATGAATATACAAAACAGAATATAAATTATTTCAATTTTGCTTCCTTCAGTATTTAACAGATTCTGTTTGTACTAAGACTTACTAATTACGTGAAAACATTGTTTATCTAGGGTTCTATCATGGTTCATGACTTATACACGCATATTTGGGCGAGGTTATACATTGGATGATCCAGATATGATTTCTAATCTGGCAATGGTAGCTAATGCAATTATCTATCTTGTATATAACATACAACTCATTGTTTCACCTGAATACTATGAAACCAATATGTTGTACAAATATGGAGATATATGTGATTTTGTCGAAGCATGCTTTTGTGTATTTGCTTGTTTACGTGATGATGATTGGTTTTGGTTTTTTCCATTAGCTGGACAATATGGTATTGCATTAGGACGAGTACAAGTAGAAGCAAAAACTCTACCACAATTCGGTAAAAATCCAATACTTATAACGAATATGTGTCGAAGAAGAACCAAAATAAAACGAAGTGAGAGACACGACAAAATAAATATGCGTAATGATGTCATCACCGTGCCAATATTCGCACCATCTCTAGAACATCCCTAATTGCCCTGTTTCTTTTATCTGAATATTACTTTAAATTGATTTGCCACAAATTGTTCATTATCCCTATACTATTTATTGTCTTGAAAGTATAGATGAAGGATAATTATGTAGATACGGATGTGGAATGAGTATGAACACGAATAAGATAGATTCGCATTTATATTCATCTTTCAAACGAACTTATATGAAAAATAAAGAATATATAGGTGAGACACTAGATTTTGAAATCCATTGATCGCCATAGGACGACAATTCACTTACACCAAAAAGCACAACATGTAATACTATTCAGTAAGAAACAGATATATGCGGATAAGGCTAACGACGCATCCTTAAAGACAACAAGAGCAATATGAATATGAAGACGACCACTAATAATCAACGTTACCGGACCCACAATTGATCGAAAAAATACCTGCAAACTCAAAGGTTAAAAAATTGCACCAATGATTTGATTGAATCATCGGCATCAAAATTCACATACTGATTGGAATAAATTTGCAACTTGCCGATTGAAAAAGAATGGTTAAATGAATGAGGCGAATCGATACTATCCAATAGACTACAATAGTGAAGACAGAAATAAAATGATGAAGAAAAACGCCATGAGCACCTATATCGGTAAGTACTGTGTAAGATATCAATATTAAAATGATTAGAATTAAAGTGTAATGGATAGGATGAATAATGTAGAAACATGTAAGAAGTTATACAAACCAACCAATATTAACTATAGTAGCCAATATATCGTGTTGATAACTATGTGAATATCTTTTTAAATTCTCATTAATAAAAGATATTGTTACTGATGTCTTTGAATTCTTTCTAAAGACGTCATAGTCTATTGTACTTATCTTTGCATTCTTCTCTTTGTCTTAATATTGTGACTTAAAAGCGACAACAAAATTTATGTTGACAAATCATCTTGAAGGTGTCAACAGTAAATAATTTCGAGCAAAGAGATGAAAAACGCTCGTCAATTATACACATACTACGATTGTAATTGTCGAGATATTGACTTCGATTTGATCGGCTTAAAACTAACAGGAGTGTTCGATAGAATTCAAATATTTATATGTGCTTCGAAAGAGAAAAAACTTCCATATTTCTATTTTGTAATTAGTTTACGTAAAAGAAACGAAAATATTCTCATCTTATATTTTGTCAGGAACATTAGAAATAGTCGTATATATAATAGAATCTAGAATCTCTCTATCAATCTTTCATCAAAGAGTACTAAATGATTTCCATGATGTAAAAGAAAACTAAATTATTGATAAAATTACGATTAATTGAATAATCTTCCTCATCTTGTTTGCATTGTTGTATAATAATTGCTATCTAACCTTCACACCGTTATATAAAAAACACATAAGAGAAGAGGAATAAAAAGACACATTGACAAGATCAATAGTATGATAGAATTCATATAGAGAAGAGAATACAAGACCAATGAAATGTAATGGTCATCTATTCGTTGCAAGTATCTCTATATAATAGATAATAAGAATCTAAGGATGCGATTAAGAACGGATTATAGTCAATTGCAATTCTTGGAATTGGTACATTTGCTGTTCAACATATGCTACAAACAATGTTTGCATAGAGAACTAAGTTCTCATTAGCTGTAACGATTAATGAACGACATCTGTCCTTTTTCTTTGTGTTAAACAGCCTCTAGGCTATAATGTTGATCTAGACCAATATATTGTTTTCTTTCTCTTCTCTATTCTATTAAATATATAGACAACTAAATTAATGTAGGCGCTCAGTATCATTATCTCAATGATATCGATGTATTTGTATTCAGTCTATATTTGTTTATAAATAATTTTATTCTTTGTTTTAGATTGAATAATCCATAAATACTATACCAAAGCCTTAGACTAGGTGTTTTTCATTTAAAACAATAACGGTGAGATTATTTTATCATGTGAAATATACAATGAAAAGTGATTGAGTGACTGTAGTGGAGCAGAACTATTAATTCATGCACACGGAAGAGAAAAGAAAGAAGAAGAGACACCATAAACAACTGATGAATTTTTCTATGTTAGAAAGAAAAAAGAAATATATATTTTATTTTTGACTCTTAAAATAATAAATATTTATTAGTAAATAGGAGTAATAAATCTGAAGAATTGAGATTTATTTCTAACATATAGTGAAAACATCTAGTCTTTGAAAATAAAGAATCAATAACCCATCGATGATATCCTTGAATTTATACAGTAAAAAACTGAAAGTGAATCATTTTTTCTAGTAATTCTGTTGTCAAGAAAAAAATTCTGTATTCAATTTGAATATTTTTAGAATAAATCTATGAATCAAGTTAAACGACAATTAACTGTTGATCAATCACCAACAGAAGAAACAAAAAAATTAAGAAGTGAGTGATTCAAATCGTAAACATTCACGTTTATTTTTGTTTTTTTTTCTTTTCATATAAATAGATGAATTTGATGTGTCAATAACTTGTTTTGAAAATTTGTCTAATGAAATTTTTTGTGAAATATTTGATGATATGAATGGTTTGTATATATATCAAGCATTTTCAAATCTTAATTATCGTTTTCAACAACTGATCAGTTCTTCGTTGGTTCGATTCAAAATTTATTCATATCCATCATTAGATAAGTTAAATACGAATATTTATCAACAACTTGTACTCAATCATAAACATCAAATTATTTCCATCGATACGTCTCTACCATATTTGAATAGTTATTTATTTCTAAATATTTTTAATATTGATTCATCATTCGAACGTCTCGAATCACTTATTATCAAAAATATTGAAGGAGACCTTCTAATTTCAGTTCTTATTAATTTAATTTCTTTATCTCGTCTATTTTCATTAACGATTCAACTAAATAATAAAGTCGTAAATCTAAATCATGTCTATCAATTAATATTCGTTTTACCCGCATTAAAATATAATAAATTGACTATAGGTGGAGATGAACATCTAATATTACTCTCGATGGCAACCAATAAACAACTGAGTACTATTGAATGTCTCATTATTGAGAATCATTTGACTTTCAATGAACTTTTTACTATTATATCTTATACACCTAAACTTTACCGTCTTCATTTTCATCATACATATAAAAGAGATAAAAGTATTAAAAGAATGTTACCAATGACATTATCAAATTTAACATATCTTTCGATATGCATATCTGTAAAATTTAATCATTTTGAAATATTTATTAGAAAAATACATTCAAAATTAAAATATTTATCTGTTAATATTTCATCGAAAGATATTACTTTTCTCGATGCTTATCGATGGGAAGAACTAATTTTACAAAATTTACCTCAATTAGAAAAACTATCTTTTCAATACTTTGATAGGATTAATGATGAATATGAATATCCAAGCAAATTAAATCAGTTTTGTTCATCATTTTGGATGAAACGAAAATGGGTATTTGGTGTTGAAATTGTCGATGATTATATTGTTTATTTCATTCATCCATACAAGTAAACTGAGAAGAATCTTCTATATAAAATATATTCTTTTACTTATTTTAGAAAAAGATGGTATGAATATGTCGATGAGAAAATTATCAATTGTTCTACTGATCTTTTCAAATTCAATCCACTGATTCTGAATACAACATCTTGGGATGTATTCAGTGAATCAATAAATATGAAAATTCAGCGTAGTTTAACTTTAGTACAAATTTATCATTTGTCAATTCCTGAAGTAGATGTTATTGTTAATGAATTACTTCAAATTCTCGATGCATTACCAGATCTTATTTCAATAAAAATTTTTTCATTATCATTAGCTCAACCAAAGGATTTATACAAAACGAGATTTGATGTTTCTTATTCAACTAAAAAAACAAATAAAATTACCAAATTTTGTCTCGATAGTATCACTGATATGGAAGAAGTTTATGTTGTAATGAAACTTTGTCCATATATTGTATATCTCAAAATAGATTGGATTACTGATATAAATGAAGAATTATTTGTAGAAGATTTTTTCAAGAAAATCAATGAAGAATTTAATAATCAACTTCGTTTATTATGTTTTAATATTGAAGCCGCTGATGATAAAACGATCGAAAAATTAGAAAGATTGATTCATTTGAAAAAACTTTGTCTTGATTATACAATTAAACGTGAAGTTGATCATATTTTTTTGCAATGGAAATGAGTATTATACATATTTATTTGATCTTTATTTTCATGTAAAAATCGTTTAGAAAATAAAATAAAAGATGTTTAAAACTTAATATTAAGAGACACAAACATATTTCTTAGTTTGAATCAAATTTATAAGTTAATGATTAATCAGTCATTGAAATTGTGTTTTGTTGAAAAGAAAAAGAATGGAATGTCATCTTCAGAGTGTGAATGTGGATATTGTATTCTTTTCTTGCGTATACATCCACACACCCGAATACTGAAAATACTATAAAAGTATTGCATATTCTCTTCAAACTTATATTAAAAGTCTAATCAAACGATTTAATAAACTGAGTACAACATATAAAGACGAAACAAAATGTTTATCATTAATTTGTCGATAATACATGATATAATTCAGCAGTATGTAGAACATCAGTATCACTATATCCACCAGTTACTAAGACTTTGCCATTTGATAGTACGGATGCACTGTGCTCTAGTCGTGCATAATTCATGTCAGGAATAGTTTCCCAAGTGTCTGTTAATGGATCGTACAACTCAGCACTACTTAAATAACCATTACAACCATCACCGCCAGTAACTAATACTTTTCCATTTGTTAAAATGGATGCCGTGTGCTCTTTCCGTGCATAATTCATACTACCAATAATTGACCAAGTTCCTGTAGATGGATCATACAACTCACTACTATTCAAACAATCACTAAGAGTATCAGATCCGCCCGTTACTAACACTTTTCCATTTGTCAATTCGGATGCTGTGTGTTGAAAGCGCGCATAATTCATGTTACTAGTATTGGTCCAAGTTCCAGTTGATGGATCATACAATTCATCAGTATTCATCAAATCACCACCGCTATATCCACCGGCAACTAATACCATTCCATTCTTTAGTAGGGATGCAGTATGCGAACTTCGTACAGAATTCATGCTACTAGTAATTGTCCAAATTCCTGTTGATGGATCATACAACTCAGCACTATCATAATAACCTTCGATACCACCATATCCACCTACTACTAGAACTTTTTCATTTTTTAAAAGGGTTGCGGTGTGTTCACTTCGTACAACATTCATACTACCAGTCGTTGACCAAACTTCTGTGAATGGATCATACAATTCTGCACTATTCAAATAATTATTACCACTACTAGATCCACCAGTGACTAAGACTTTTCCATCTGGTAATAACAATGCGGTGTGCCACTTTCGTGCATCATTCATGCTGCCAGTTAATGACCAAGTTTCTGTTGATGGATCATACAATTCTGCAGTATTCAAGTAATTACCACTAGCATCACCTCCACCAGTCACTAATACTTTTTCATTTGCTAATATGGATGCCATATGTGTAGTTCGTTCATTACTCATGTTACCAGTAACTGACCATTCTAAAAGAAGCCTTGAAATATATTAAATCTCGACATATCGTATCACTGACTCATTATATTCAACACGCGTACACCCTTATAGATACGTCATTTAAAGGTAATACTTAGCTAGATTAAAAAAACTTACGAAACTGTTGCGTAGTAGTCGTTATTATAATTGGCGTTGTTGTCGTTGTTGTTATTATTGTGGTCGATGATGTTGTTGTAGTGACGATGATTTCCGACTTTTCTGGGGCAAGAATGACGAATTTCAATAACAAAGAGAAAGTAATTACAAAAATTGTAGAAATGATAAATAAAATGCCAATGATCTTGATTCGTCGAGAGTTCAAACATTTGTATGGCTGGTTATTTCTAGTATCATTTGTATTGTACAATGGATTGTTATGCATATTTTATATCTCAAGAAATTCGAACTGAAAACAAAAAAGCAAGTTATTGTTTGAAACTGCCTTATATTTGTCTTCTATTATCTGAAGAATATTAAAAAATGCAAGTCACTGTGCTGATAAGCACATCACCTTTGTGTCATAGCTCTTCTCATTGATCTCAACCATATATAGACTCTTGTTGTATGTGACATACACGCATTGAAAGAGATATAAATTTATGAGTAAATAAAAGCCAAATAAAGATCGTATCACAAAAGACAGGTTCATATGCTTTTCCATTTGTCACAGCGATGAGCATGGAGTAGCTCAAAAAGTATTACTACCGAAGCTAGAGATAGAATTACATTTTTTCTTTTTCGTAACGGTAACTTTGCGTCGAATATAAAGTAGCATTGCTATGTACTTCTCTTTCTATAATATATTTTGTATATAACCAAGATAATGTACACCTATGTTTTACATTTCTAAGATTTCTTGAAGATGTGAGTATAAGTGTCGGTGAATTTGATATTTATCTAACACCCACCCACGCCCTTTCTTTAGAGATTGTCAAGAAGCATGTCTATGTAATACTCCTGAAACTCCAGAAGTAACGAAAAATCCAGGTTTTTGATACTTCTAGATTCACGTTATATTCATTGTATTCAAATTTTTGTTTCAATTAATGAATATGACAAAACAAGTAACTATGTAGAATGACAGAGAATTTCAAGGTCGATGGGAATATATAATTACTTTTTCCAAAAGGTGATTTTATAGTGATGAGAAATTGAAAACACTAATTTTGATGACATTAACAAAATCAAGTCTGTGGAAATCTGGACATGAGAGTGTCTTCATTGCACTCAACTTATTTTGGTCATTTATTGTTGCAATGTAGGACATAATTAAATAGAGTGATAGAAAACTTCACGGACTTTCAGAATACGCAATTGCGTTTTAAATACTCTAACTGTATAGTTGAAGTATGTTCAAAATACACAGTCTAAATATTTTTTATCCAGGATTATCTATTGTATTTACAAAAAGGTTTTTTCATTTTTTATTTTTTTATTTTTTCAAAATAAATATGAAAGTTTTGTTCTATAATTAAAGCTCATTTTTTATTAATAATTTCAGATCGATCGTTATTTTATTAATATTAAAGACATTTAAATGAATAAAGTATTGTCAAGAAAGAATCTTTAAAGCTTCCAATGTTTCAAAAATAGAATTAAATACAATGAATCGATATTTTAAAGACATGTCTGTTGTTCTTTAAAAGTAGATTCATAACGAAAATCTATCTGAAACAATATTATTTGTGAATGACATTTGAATTTTTCTTTTAAACTATGGGCAATTATATGTAAATATTTTCATCTAAATATTTACATAAGAATTTCTAATCAAAATAGACATTTCGAGCTCATGATTCATTTCATCCCCGATTCAAAGAAATCTCTAATGAAATTGAGAAAATCTCAAAAGAACTTCTTTCATATGGTCATAAATATGATTCAAGTTGTTTTACACGATCATTAAATGAAAATGAAACTGTCGAATCTGTTCTGTGTGGTCACAGTGATAGACTTGCAATTGCGTGGAATTTTGTTGTCAATCCTAACAGATCACATATTCAAGCTACAAAAAATCTTCGTGTTTGTAGAGATTGTCGTATGTGATTGTTATTTTATATTTTCTCAATTTTATTTATTATTTTCTTTTCATAGATGAATCAACAAAATTAATTGCAATGATACGTCAATGTGAAATAATTGTTCGTGATGCAAATCGAATTCATCATTTTCATAAAAATGGACAATGTTCATGTAATGACTGTTTCTAAAAAAAGAAAAAAAGTAAATTAAACTAGATATTTAGAAATAAATATTCTTGAAAAAGATATGGAATTATATTAGGAAAAATTCATTTATAACAATTCTAATCCTATCATGAATAGATATTTCATTTGTTTTCAAATAAATCGAATGTTATTTTAATGAGAATACGTCATAGAATATCGATCTAAGATTCATCTGCCTCATAAAATTTTTGTAGTACACGTAACTCTTGGATAAAGTCTGAGGCTTCTGCGTTTATTTTCGATTTAGATCTGAAAGCAAAGATTTTTCTTCATTATTATTAATGTTTTCCGGTAAAAGTTAGAAATGAATGAGATACAAATATTCGACTTAATCAATGTATTTTAGACGATGAAATGAAAAAAAAGGTATGAGAACTGATCGATTACATATCTATTTCGGATTATCTTTTACATCATTATGTAATGGTTGTTGTTGTAAACAAGAAATTCTAAGTGATAAATGAACATATTTAAAATAAAAAATAAATTATTGAATATGGTGAATTTCACAAAACCTCATTTGTCTCTCATTGAAACAAATCATCTAATTCTATATTATATTTTAATTTTGTCAATTGTTATGCTAGACAAAGTTTTACATTGATAATGGAGGAGGGTGGGTAAAGACATTTTGCGGCCCCCTTCAGAATTAATTTATTTGTATCAGGCTTGAATAAGGGGTCATTAGTGATCACTTTCTTCAACTTTATTCTTTGAAAAACGACATTGACCATTTTCGTGCCTGGGGTCTTCCCCAAGTATCATGAAAAACAAATTTCTTTTTTCGCGAGTCGAAACTCGATGTGCCTGTAAATTCAGAGGTACTGATTACGAATATCATAATAAGAGCTCTCGAAATGCCTTCATTTCTTACAGAGTCCTTACCACTCTCTAGGTCCTATTTTTCATTATTGGGTCCTCCGGTAAATAACTAGGCGTCCAAATTTAGTAGAAAATATTTTTTCTAAATCAGAATTTTGAGTTTTCTACGAATTTAAACCTTTTATTCTGAAAAAATGTAATCCATAAAGACAATAATGGATTCTGGGGCAAAAATTGACCCTGATTTGGGAGCACATATCTTTATCCTTATAATTTTCTTACGAATGCTTCGTAGTGACAGCGTCAAATTTTGACCATAAGGGTATTTTTGCGAGCTCTATTCATTGATGATCTCAAAAATAGTGAAAAAGTTGTGCAACAGAGTCGAAAATTGAAAATATCAGTAAAATATATAAAATGGGACCTGGAGAGTGGTAAGGACTCTATAAGAAATAAAGGCATTTCGAGAGCTCTTATTATGATATTCGTAATCAGCACCTCTGAATCTACATGTACATCGAGTTTCAACTCGCGAAAAAAGAAATTTGTTTTTTATGATACCTGAGGCTTTGTTCCTTATCGCTATTCCAGCTTTAGAATATTTATTATTTCATCAACAGTATAGTCGTGCGAGCACTGGATCAACCTACTTATTTGCGGAGCTCTATCATCCGTTTTGCACACTACCGTCCTGTTTACTAATTGAGCTTTCAACAAATAACAAGCTCACTTTTTTGCTAATTTGTATTACGAAGTTATTCTGAAAAGAGAAGGAAAGACGAAAATTATATGCTTAAAGTCAGTTTTTTCACATGACCCGGTGGCTAATGAGCATAAGAGAAATAACTAAAATTAATCTTAATGATAATTTAGCGGAAAGTGATGATATGCAGTCATCTATTTTTTAGAAAAAAGATAAATAATACTGTTACGTTCTAAAAAAGAGACAATCAAAAGTAATTGTCATTCTTTTCGAGAATGCTTTTCCGTTATTTAAATAATCATGCATGACTTATTTCAATAGATTATATATATATATATTGAATTCATTTTCTGACAAACAAAATTAAAGCTACTTCGATGGTGTCATTGACATTTACTGAGAACTCGACCAAAACAAGTGTTGAACCATGGTTTATTCCTTGCGATATTTTCATGCTTATTTGCAATATCTTGACTATTACACTTACAATACTTTTTTTAATTCTAATTATTCTTGATAAAACATATCGAACAGTTCCAATGGTACTCGTTGGTAATTCATGTCTGACTATACTTTGTTTTGCATGTACTATGCTCGGTGCAACCTCATCTACCATTGAAAAAGATCTCAAACAGATTCAATATCAAGATCCACTTTGCATTTTCTTCGGCTATCTAATGTATGCAACGCCTACTGTACAGAATTATTCAATACTATTACAAGCAATTTATCGTTATTTACTAATAGTTCATCCAACTCGTTTGTTGTGGCATTCACATAGAATTCATATATTATTTATTACTATATCATGGATCATTGCTTTCATAGTGCCAATGAAATTTCTACTCACTGGTGAGATCATTTATAATGTCGACAACCAGGTATGTCAAATGACATTTAGATTATCCTTCTCAGTGATGTATATGGCATCTTTTTGTGTTATAATTCCTGTCTCAATGATTATAGTTATATATTTTGTATTAGTTCGCTATGTTAAACGAATGAATAGAGTTGTTACAGCAATCAGCACATTATCACGGGCACAACGGGAATTGAAAATGGTTCGACGTACAGTTATACTTATATCAATTCTTGTTACGCTTTTTATTCCGTACCAATTGTTTGCTATAATGTCATTCTTCAATTTTACAATAAAATATGATTTTCGAATTGCCTTTTTATTTGGTGATACAGGAATGCTATGTGTAGTCATTGCTTTGTTCAAATTTACAGATCCATTAAAAACGTCTTTAATGAAAAGAATAAATAAATGGACAAATACAACTGTAGCACCTTTATCATAAAACAAACACTATTATACCAAAATTTTATTGATGTTGTGTTTTTGTTGTTTTGTAAAAGTGAATTTATCTATCTATCTATCTATACATATACAGAAGAATGTTTGTCTGTCTGTCTGTTCGCTATACATTCAGTCCCTGTAATACTTACGGTCACCAAACTTTCCATACCACTTCTCTAGTAGTGGCGTAACCATAAATTTAAGGGTGATGGGGCTCAGCCCCAAAATTGTCTATCCCATTTAAAAAAAACGTAAAAAATCTGATTTTCATCGATTTTTCGATGATGAAAAAGCGATTTAAATGGCACGATTTACTTTGGATTTTTAATCGACAAAAAATCAACTAAAACCTGTTTTTTTCTGAAAAATCAATAGAAATCGATTGTCATGAATTATTCCAAAATAATTGATTTTAATCAGGGCCATCGATATTCTTGCATAAATGAGTGAATATCGAGCTATATCGTACCTAGAAATATGATAAGAGCATCACAGATTGGTCTGCCGTTGTACTTACTATTTGTCGATGCAAGGATTTTGAAAACACCCATGTAGAAAAGTTGTGAAAATCATGATTTTTATGAGAAATCTGATGAGAAATCTGATGAGAAATCGATTTAAATGGGACGATTTTCATAGCTTAGTAATCGATAAAATTGAAAAAATTCATTAAAATCGATTAAACTGCTGTATAAAATCGATTAAGATCGATTAAGTTGTAAATAATCGATTAAAATCCAATGATATTTAATTTTTCGTAAAAAAATAATTGATTTTAATCGATTTTATACGACAACTTAATCGATTACCAAGCTATGAAAATCGTGCCATTTAAATCGATTTCTCACCAGATTTCTCATAAAAATCATGATTTTCACAACTTTTTTTTACATGGGCAAGGTCGAGAAGTCTGGCCGATAGTCGGAAACTAGAGAAAAATACGTTTTTTCTTCATTGTGATTAAAATCAATTTTTTTGTTGAGAAAAACTGATGAAATATGTTATCTGCTGAGAATTCATCGATTAAAATATGTTATTTTCAATAGTTTAATCAATGAAAATCACTTTCTATTATAAAAATCCATTTGAATCGATTTTACCACAGAAATCTGTTTTAATCTATTTTTATAAGAATTTAATCGATGGAAATCGATTTTCATGGGAGAAATCTGTTCAAATCTATTATGTGTCACGGTTTAATCAGTTTTAATCGATCAGATCTTATATCATCGATTAAAATTGATTTTTTGACCAGATTTAATCAGGTTTTCTTGATTTTTCTCAAAAAATCGATTTTAATCATATTTTTGTAGTTTTTTTTACATGGGTAGTCTTTTGAATTTTTCGATTGACAAGTTCAGTAACTAAAAAATCCGGGTAATGGGGCTTAAACACTCGATGATGGGGCTAAGCCCCATCTGCCTCCCCCCTGGTTACGCCACTAGTTTGAATGTGGATGAGAGATTTATATATATATATCACCCTTATCTACAATCCCACTTTTACAATCCAAATATAATTCGATTTTATGTATTGTTCAATATGAAAGTATTTAAAAATTTTAAATAACATAAAAACAATTTTCATTAAAAATGAAGGATATTTTATAATTAAAATTTGATTAGTTTCAATCGAAATAGATGAAATATACTAGGAAATTTGATAATCTCTTATTTTGATTTCAAAATAAAGATATCACATACAATCAATTATACAATATTCCAACATTTTATTATTATCTAAATAATTAAATGAAACTAAAGATTTATCGTTTCTTTTTATTCTATTAAAAATATATTTACGTAATATGAAAAAAATTTCATTTTATAGAATTTTAGTATGAGACAAAAACGAAAAACAAATAAATCAAATGGATTTGTCTAGTTTTAAAAATAAACATGAATCGTTAAAATAATAACTGTAAATATGATCATAGATAAAAGATCAGAATATTCTACTAAGAAGGGATGGCGTGTGGGTGTGAAATAATTGAAAAGAAAAAAGCGGATGGTGAACGTGTGGATGGATATGGAATTAAAATATAATAAACACACTCTTAATCACACCCACCTTTGAATCAAAATTCTTTATATTCGAATGATAATTTAGTTTAATTATTTTGTTACCTATTGACTGTATAGTGGTTCTTTGAGTAGATAAATGTCGTAGAAAGACTTCAATAAAACGTTTGAAATTTTTATTTTTTGTAAAAATTTTCATAGAGTAGAAGAAATTAAGAGTTTTTCTATAAAATATCGCAATCGCTCGTCGTTTCTTAGTACACATAAAACATTACTCCATCTTTTTTCAGCAAACAATGACGACCAACATCGTGTTATTCGAATGAGTCCTGTTCTACCAAGCATATAGCATGTATAGCCTTTAGAATCTAAATTTTCAACAACATCTCGTAGATGAATGCTTGCCCAGAAACCGACTTGATGATGTTCAAAGATAAGTAAACGAATTTGTTGACGTTTGAAGATAAGATTTGCTCCCGTTAAAACTAATAGATCATATCCTTCTGTATCTATCTTCAATATATCAATTATTTCTGTAATTTGAAATTTTTGCACAAATCTATCGAGTGTTGTCACATTGACTAATAAAAATCGTTCGGTATTTGTAAGATTTTTCTCTACTGTTAAACCACAAGCTTCACCTCCTCGACCACATTTTAATAGCACAGCAGTACCTGTATGATTACTTATCGCTAGATTGTGCACATAAAGATAAGTATCATTTGTCCATTTCTGTACTTGATGTAAAATTCCATAATTGCTCAATTGTGGCTCAAATGCATGTATTTCTACTAATACATTCGTGTGTCTAGAGATATTGACTTTGGTTGATAGTAATGGTTCATTACAGTCGTTACATACACCACAATCAGAAAGTAATAATTTCTCAGATAAATATTTTCCCAAACTTCGTTGGTTAACTCCATTTTGTGGAGACCAAATTGATTTCCAAGCAGCTAATACATACCCTTTATTCGAACCAACATCAAATAGTAATTTTCTTCGTTCACGAATTGTTCCTAAATCTGCCAGATACAATTGTATGATATAATCTTCTGCATAACAGGCTGTCCACAAAGTATTTCGACGTAATTCTTCTTGATATACTTTACCTTGATTTTCACTTTCACTTTTTGTACAATAGAATACAGATGCAAACGGTGCTGATATCAATCGATGTTGATCTTGATCTTGTCGATATAAGGTCAAAAATGAATTAAGTTTTTGAAACGATATTGTTGGACTAGACCAAAAGACTACGAAAACGCCAAATGAGAGAAGTAGAAGAATCACAACACATTGAATGGATACGTACTCAACCTAACGATGAATGTAATTCATATAATTAACAATACAAACTAAGAAGATATTATTGAATCTGCTTCTTACAGAGTTATTCAAGAACTACAATCAAATACTGTTGAGAAAAAGATTTTCACAGTTGAAATAATATTATCTATAAAGTACGCGTTAAGAATGATCAAGTTTTAAGACTAAAACGAATTTGATATGATCACCCCTACGTTCTTACTTTTAGAATTTATTTTACAAAATATATAACACCATTAATTATAAACATCTACTCACCATTGTACCAATTCAATTTACATCGTCAATACACTATCACAAGTAACAACCAAAAAATTATCAATGATAATAGTGTTGTGTATGTCCATGTGAGCATCGTTTTTTTTTTCGTTTTTTTCTTTCTCTTCACTTGCTGCTCAATCAAGCGTGTACATGTTCAATATATTAAATGATCAAGATGCATTTTGGTAACTGATGTAAATAAAAAGTAAAACTAATGCGATATAAGGGTATGAGTAAAGGAGGATGGATACAAATTTATCTTTTCTTTACTCACACCCATCACATCTTCACCACGTGATAACAAAACAAACGCTACTGACAGAAGAGGCGATGCCTGTGTTGGGTTGACTCTCTCTCTCTATGACTCTAGTAATCAGAAAATGTTCACACATTTATTCCTACTTGTTAAGACAAAAGATAGCAGAGCAGAAAATAACTAATCAAAAAACATGATTGCAGCTCATCATTTTATTAATAACATGTATAAATACGCACATGTTTGAAAAAACTACTGTTTTTTTCTTCATTCTTTCTCATGATTTTTCAGCATAGAAAGTAAAATAGTTTACAAATATATTTATCCTACAATAATAATTATGTGATTATATCTCTCTCCTTTTTATTGGATTTTGTAGTTAACTCATTGATATCCTATTGTATATTATTTATCTTCGTCTCGAGTATGTATATAGTCTTAATCATCATTGTTTTATCGTTTTTGATGGTATGTCAATACAGAAGCTGTCGATATAACGGTCTTTCTTGTTATGTGAGTATCATTCGAAAGATATATACTCATTTTTCATCAAACATGGTTACATTGACTTGGAAGAAATGATGACTGCTTAATTATATCCCATTGTTATTTTATCTTCTGGTTTTGATCTTCGTAACTTGTGATTACTTACCTTAGTATGACTATGTACATGGATGGTGTAGCTGTACTCCTTTTTGTTACAGTGATATAAACATTGTTCTATTCGATGTTGCATTAATCATCCGAGTTATATGACATGAGTATATTCGTCTTCATCAATCGATTCAATTGTGAAAACATCATAAGATGATGATACAATTACCAATTATTATTAGCTTCAATGTTCTCTTCAAATTTCTTAACAGTACTTTTAGCCTTTCATTTAGTTCTATATTATAGGAATATATCATCAGTGAGTATTGGTTTCAAAGTATTATATTGTTTACTTTATTTACTTCTTTTTCCAATTTTATTTTTACCATTCATTATGATTCTTTTACTTCCGAAAGAATATCGGTGGAACAAATACTATCTGCCAAGATAGCAAGAAAAGATTTCACGTGGAAAACTGATCGACATTCTATGGACTTTGCATTTGTATATTTTCACATCGACTAACTTTACATGAAACGAAACACATCATAAGTAAATCTTAAAAATTTCAAATAGGACTCTTTGTTTTGAATTCTACGTAAGAAGTAAAAAACTCATTGTAAAATTATATGTAATAAAACCCTGCGATTGTTTTCTATGTACAGATAATTACTCTAAAACGTTACATTAAGCCATAAAAATAAACATGAATTTTTATTAATTTACTTCTTATCTTTATTACTTCCTTTCTCGATCATTCATTTCAAGTTAGTCGATTTTCTTGTATGATCAATACTGAGAGTATTCTTCTTATCTGATATTTATATTTTTAGACCCGATCGATACATCTCTAGGATAATTTTGATGATGATGATCTTCTATTAATCAAGTTTTTATTGCGGCGTACCTTAACTAATTTTCTTCTTATTCTCTTACAATATTTTTATTATTTATTAATCTTTTAGACATAAGAAGAAAATTCGAAAAACACTGCATATTTTGGTATACTTTCCTTGAATAACCGGTAAACGTTTGAGAATGTGAATATTGCATTCGTTGAGCGAACTTCTACCAACACATCAACCCTAAAGATGAGATGTTATACTACACTTTTTTTATTTTCAAAATAAAGTATGTACAAATAAGTAGACTTCTTTGTTAATCTTAAGCACAGTTATTTTCTCAAACAAAAAAAACAATCTTTGACGTTGAAAGAACACTAAATCAAGAAAATAAATTATAAAGTAGTTCGAAACCAATGATTTCTATATTCAATCAATTTTTTACTTAATTTTTATCAATAATACCAGTCAAGTATGCTGCAATCTATGATACATGTTATTGTATCTATCGAAATGATCCTATAATTAATATGTTTATACTATTTCCATATGATTACTTGTCTACTACGCTAATAACATTTCAAGATTTTGATTTTTCTATTTTTGTGGATGAAATTTCATTAATCAATGAATGATTTGTTTCCTTCATATCATTATCTTTTATGATATTCCAAGTTGGTTGGTATTAAATGTTATTTTCTCTCTTATAAATATAGTGACAAAAAGTAAAAAGATTCAATCTTTTCATTCTTGTTTTCCTTGTTTCAAGAGCGGAAATCCGACTTTTCAATCAAATCACACTCGTCATATTGCGTATAGTAATATTCACTTTTCTTTCTTCTGCAAAACATTATTATTATCATTGCAATACAAATTTTAGATATGAGATCCGGTAAAAAATATTCTCTGATTATCTTCTAATTGTTTTGTATAATACTGTAAATAATCATTAGTAAACTTAATCATCAGAAAATTATACGATCCAACTTGAGAGAATTTGTTTAATTTTCTCAAGATCTATTTTTACTTAGAGTAGAAACTTGTAGTTCATCCCACAGTAGAGGTAGTTTTTAAATTAATCTAAAAATCAACTATGATATAAAAGTTATTTCGTAGTTATCTCTTTATTATATTGAAAGGTAAAGAACTATTGAACATATATATTTTCATAATTCGCTTATAAGTCACCCGACAGCAAAATTTTTATCTTCTATTTTCTTTGATATATTTTTCATAAATCTAAGTAATTTATTCGACTGAAATATATTTTTGTTTGTTAGAGAAAACATTTTTTGTATTAAATAAAACTTATGAATCATCTATTCCACAATCGAATAGATTAGTTAGATTTATGAAAAAAATTTCAAAAAAATAGAAAATAAAAAGGATGACGTATCGATGATGAACAAATACTACGAAGAGAAGAGAGAGAAAAGAGAAAATGTCTCATTGTATTGAATTTACTCTAGTTGTTAGAAAATACTACGTTGAAAAAGAAGTTTACCGAATGAACTTTTTACTACTATATAAAACGCGACTCCTCTCCTGTACTTTGTGGACACTTTTCTTTTCTCTTAATAGTTTAAAGTGAGTTTTCTTGTTATATGATAGCCCATGAAACTGTCTACAAAATCTAATTAATACAGCTCTTAAAAAAGATATGATGGAGAAACTATATATGATAAAGGCCTTAAATGAATGTGAGTTCTCCTTATGAAGAACTACTTTCAATTAGATTTTTTAGATAATTTCGCGGACATAAAGTACAAAAGAATTGTGTTCTATATAAAAGTAAAAAAAAGTATACTCGTACCGTCTGATTATTAACTAATCTATATTCTTTACATATTTATTTCGTTTTCTACTAACTACGTCAAAAATGATTTGATGATGCCATAGAATAGAATGTATTAGTATGTCTAGTACTTTTTATTTATTTTCTAGTTTCAATTTTAGAAGGAAATAACTAAATTTTAATATGGCTAATAATATCTCAGCAACGACCAACGATCCATCTGTAGATATGTTAAATACTGCTCGTATTGGAATTCAACATATTGGTCAACCAATTCTTTTTACACTTGGTATGATTGGATGTATATTGAATATAGCAATTTTTCTTCGTCCATCAATGCGTAGCAATTCATGCGCTATTTATTTTCATGCAAGTTCATGGGCTAATTTACAGTGTTTAACATGGGGTTTGTTTGTTAGTATGCTTGCTTCGTTTACCAACTATAATCTATTAAATTATAATTCGGCATATTGTAAAATTCGTTATTATATTCTTACTGCTTCTCAATTGGTCAGTCGAGGATGTGTTGTCTTAGCATGTTTAGATCGTTTTTTATTGTGTTCCCAATCAGTTCAACAACGATCGTTTTGTCGACCAAGTGTAGCAATTAAAGTTATGTTGATAACTGTTACCAGTTGTGCTTGTTTATCAATCTATGTGTTAATAGTTTATGATGCATTACCTCAAACACATCAATGCAGTACAAGTTCAGCAGCAGGAAAAATCATTGATACTACAGTTTTATTCTTATTTAATTTTGGAACTCCAGCTTTTTTAATGAGTACATTAAGTGGAATGATTATATGGCGATTGAAACAAAACGGAAAACGAGTCGGACGCCAAAAAGTGAGTATTCTTCATACTTTTATTTTTATGTTATCATATTTATGATGATATTTAAGTGATAGTGAATAAAATTTATTCATCAATATTCATTTTTTACATATACATATAATCTAGGTACATGTACGTAAAAGAGATCTTCAACTGGCAGTGATGCTTATAGGACAAGTGGTTTTGTATATAACAACAGCACTTCCATTTGTTACAAATTTTGTTTATTCAACAATAACACAATATGTTCCAGCATCAAGTAAATCACCATATCGAATTGCAGCAGAATCTTTAGCTATAACAGCGACCGGTAGTTTTGGTACCTTTATATTTAATGCAGTAAGACTTTATATTGTATATAGATTTCGATTTTCTAATAATATATTATTTTAGTTAACTTTTTATGTTTACACATTAACAGCACCGAGTTTTCGTCGTGAACTATTTGCATTGATTCTTCCGACACGATGGTTGAATCGTTTTCAACAACCAGAACGAACTCAAATCTCTCGAACTAATCGTATCAATCCATCATTTCCAGATGGTCATTCGATCGATTCACAAGTTCGACGAAATTAATCTTAATGAAGTTTAATTAACAATATAAAAAAAAACTATTTTTCATTGATTCTTTAAATTATTTACGTTGTATATCTATATGTTCTTCAATTTTGTAATATGTATTTTGTCTTATCAATAAAGAATGAAGTCAAGTCATGACAAATCTCAAATTAATATCAATTTAAACTAAGTGTCTGATCTTGAAGGTGTGAGCGAGTATGTGCTGTTTATATACTAAAAGAATCACTCGCAGCCATATCGTCAAGATGATTTTTATTCAAGCAATTGATATTATTAGTATGAATGAAAAAAAATGAATTAAATTTATTTATTTTTATATAAAATCGGATTATAATTATCATTATTAAAAAGTGAAACACCTATTTCTAATTCATCAATTTGTTCTTTTGTTAAAATATTTTGTGTCCCATTAAAAATCATATTATCAGGCATCCTAAAAGAAATAAAAATTTAATTAATAATATTTGAGATATATTTTCTTTTTCTTACATTTGAATAGTCATTGCAGCTCTTCTTCCTGTTGTCATATTAGCACCAGCACCATGAATTAAATGACCACTATGAAACGAAGCACTTCCTGCTTTTAACACTACAGGAACTGTCTGTCTTTGTTTTAATTCAGGATAAGTATTAAATACATCAGAAAGATTTTTTCCAATCTTTGTTTCAGGAAATTTATTATTTGATGCATAAAATCGTTCTTCAACAACCTTTAAAATAGAAGAATAGAAATAAAATAATATTTGCTATAATTCTTACTTTATTTGATCCAGGCATAAAATACATACAACCATTTTCCAATGTTGCATCATCTAAAGCTATCCAAACACTTATTGAATGTAGTGTAGTGAATGACCAATTTGGGACATCAAGATGCCTTTACAAACATAAATAAATAAATAAATAAATAAATAAATAAAAAAGATATTTTTAAATTTACCAAGCAGTTGGATTTGCAAAAGATTCTTTAATTAATGCTTGATCATGCCATATTCTTATACAATCAACACCTTCTAATTGAGCAGCAATTTTTCCAATAACATTTCCACTTTCTAATAATAGTTCTTTAACAGAATTATGTGTTTGCCATAAATTAACACGTTGTGTAAATACATTATCATAATAATCTAAATCAATATTGGTACAATCTTCTTGATCTGTTTTAGCAAATTTATATTTTTTATCTGCACGATCTTCTACTGCACTAAATATTATTGTTCGCCATTGTTCAAGTTGAGAAGGAGAAAGAAGATTAGGAACAATATGATAACCTTTTTCTCGATAAGAATTTATATCAGATGTTGTAACTGAAATGGAATTTGTCACAGGAGAAATAAGAGGTGGTGTTGGCGTTATCAATGGTAAAGAAGACATGAAATGGTTTAATAAACAATGATGATTGTACTAATCTGAAACAAAATTTTAACATATATAAAGTAAAAGAAAATATCAAGTATTAAACTATGTCACATGTCTAATAATATTTATCATTCACTAAATATAAGTTTATATATATGTATAATCAAAAGAACGAAATATCACGAGGAGAGAAAGAATGATGAAGATGATTCTTATCAGTATTAAAATAGTCAGAAGAGTGTTGTATGATTAACGGAGAGTAGTTAGACAATGATAAGATGACAACTGATAACATTTTTTTTGTTCCTAGACCATACAAGTTCAAGATAAATATCAAGTCATTATTTTCGTTTTTTTAAAATCTATTATTTGTGACACATAGTTAACCAGTGCGATGCAGAATCTGTTATTAACAAGAAAAATTTTTTTTTGATTATTAAAGTAAAAGAAAGTACTGTATGTTTTAAATTTTATCAACCATCAACTAGTTCTCATAATGATTACGTAGTAGTTTCTAAGAAATCATCATCTAATGGTTTTTCAATAAATAAATCAGTCTAGAATAATAGAAGAATATTATCGTATTTTTTGACGTGAATATATTGCTTTTTACGACCATTCCAGCCGCAATATAGAACAAAATAAAATCAGTCCTATTACTCTTTATTAGCAGATCACGAACAAAATCATGTTTTTATATATATAAATATACAAAAGAACTTTCGTCGATATGCGTTGGCGCTGATGGATAGATTGTACATTAATTGTTTATGAGAATAGTAATACATCTCATTTCAATTTCTTCACAAAATTCGTTTAATCGATTACGATAACATTGGAATAATGTAACTTACTCTCTCATATCAAAAATCAACAGTAATTGCGATGTTTTATATATGGTTTAATGTACTTAATAAACATCTACATTCATCTAAACATATCAGTGTAACATTTTGTTTCTTAGTCATAAAAAGAGAATATTTCTATTTGAATAAAAATAATAATAAACTATGAGTAAAAAGGGCAATAACACTCATAAATATTTTTCTCTTTCTTTCACATTATTCACACAAATAAATAACAACAAAAATTGATATTTATACACATTAAAATAAAACTAAGATATTAACAATTGAATCATGTTTATTGTTTTTCTTCTTGTATTTATCTTGTTTCAATCACATTTTATAATGGGTCGTCCTTCATTTGATTCTTTTCTTAATTTTACAAGAAGTAAAGTGAATCATGTTGATTCTACGACAGGTTTTCCAATTCATTCGAATATTTTTCAAGAAATCTTCGATCTAAACAAACCAGTTATTCGTCGTGGAAAAGATTTTCTTACAAAAATTCATAAAATGAATCTTAAATCCGACGGTAACCTACATCCAACAGCATGTATTGTTCTTGATGTTATTCTCGCTCTGGAATCTGTTCGATGTCAATTTGGTCCTTTGCAACAACTCAAATTGACCTTTAATTCGGCATCAAATGCTTCAATTATTTATAAAAAATGGCTTTCTTCATCAGCTAAATTTGTTAGTGGTGGTACAGAATGGAACTGTCTCAATGAAACAACACAGAAACCAATAATAATTATTCAACGTCTAATATTATTTCAATTGAAAAAGAAACAAATTATTATCAAAACATTAAATGATACTAATCTAAGTTCACTTGTTTGTTTTTCTAACATCAAAATGAGTCTCACATTAGAACAAAGTAGTTCAAAAACACCAACAATATCTCGCAATAAACGAGCGGTAGTTACAGTACCTGGTGCAAGCGTATCATCCACTTCATGGTCCTTTATTCCACTTACACCTCATGGTAATGAAATTTTCTATCCTGGAGAAATGATTAATATACGATGGTCATATTCGAACATCGACGAAATGACTGATCTTAAAATTACACTGAATCGAAAACGAACTATGTGGTTGGATATTGAAATAGATAAAATGAAAACGTATATCAATGTTCAACAAATAACATACATTATTCCACCATCATTGGAAACATCTTCACATTATCAATACTATTTACAATTTTCTTTCACACGTAAACTTTTGTCTTATGAGAGAGAAAGTGCGACCTTTCATATTTCAACTCGTCCATCGATCATTCTACGATCTTCACCTACTTTGAACGATGTCTATTATCCAGGTGATTTAGTTCCGATAATATGGGAAAGTCATAATTTTGACTTCTCAACAACTATTACTGTTCGATTTCGTCGCGTACGTTTATCAGTAATAATTGATGCTATATTAGATACATTTACAGTATCAGCCATAGCTAATGGATATAATTATACGATTTTTTCATCATTAGATAGAACTGATAATGACAAATATTATTATTTTGAATTTGATTGTAAGTTAAATTGAAATTATTGATTTTATTATTATTATTATATATTTGATTAAGATTGTACATCTTGGTTATCATTAAATTGTAAACAATCAACAAATAATTTCTTTATTCCTACTCGACCGTATTTACATCCAACATTTCCATCTGTAGACGAATGGTTTTTCCCATCACAATTATTAATACTTACATGGACAACTGCTAATTTTGATAATCTCAATGATCTTTTAAAAATAAAACTTCGACGTTATAATTATTTCTTGCCTGATAGTGATATTGATCTATTTCAATGTAGAATTGATTCTAGTGGAATGTGTACATATACTTTATCTTCAGTTCCAGCGTCATTTTCTGACTATTATTTTGAATATGATTGGTGTAAATATTGGTATTCTAGACAATGTACAACTAAAACTAATCGATTTTCTATTTCAACACAAACGATTGGATCATGGAACTATGATATGAATCATGCCGAAGCATTTCATCCTCAAAAACTCTATTCAAATACTTGTGATAGTTTATGTCCAACAAAAGATTCTCAACAAGATTATATATGTCGAATGTGTGATGAAGGTCGATCATTGGGTATTGATTTGACTTGTATTAATTGTTGGGCTGCCTATGATTATAGTCTTATTCAAATTGATCTTGTTCATAAAGATAATTCATTAATATTAGATTATCTTACTGTACGTATTTCTTCAAGTATTTTAGTTAATATGGATTTTTCTATTATCGCTAATTATTCAAGTATTTTTAGTGGTAATTTATCATTTCCATCAATTCCTATTATAAATTCAATTCCATTTACTATTGGGAATATTCCATTTGATATAGGTCTTTCATTTTCAGTATCTATTCCATGGCATATCGAAGTTAATACAATTAATAATCTAACAGTTGGTGTTGATTATAAATTGGAAACAAATTTAACATTAATTAGTAGAGAAGGAAGTACAACAAAAAAATATAATCAAACACTTTTACGTAATAATCATCCAATAGAAGGAGATTTTCAAGATAAGATTAAAATTGATCTTGCTCTTCGGCCAGCATTACAACTAGATATTGGTATATTTACACTTGAAATAGCTACGGAAGGTTATCTTATATTTGAAAATCTATGGCGTTATCCTCCATTTGATTCTCTTTCAACATTAAATTTTAATTGGAATAATGAAAAACCTTCTCAATTTCATCTTTCAATTCCATCAAATGCATGTATTTATCCTCATTTTATTCGATATCATATTATATTTGGTATTCGTCGAACAGAAATTAAGTTTTTTGTTAGTATGAAGAGTTTACTTAACGAATTGTTCAATAATGTTACTCTATCATATTCAACACCATCGATACTCGATCTTGGTCCATATGAATTAGTAGCTGGGTGTATGTTTATTGCACATCAAAATACAGACATTCCAAAAACAATTTATTTAGTCTTCAATCGAAAGTTTAATCAAACAATTGATCCGACTAATAATTATTTATCAAAAACAATCTTGTTTGATTTATCATATGCATTGAATGTATCACAAACACGTCTCTACTGTAATAGGATATATAGTGTTCAACACGATACAATGACTGGTGTTATGATTACATTGTTACCAGCATCTTCACCATATACTATAGATGAAACAGTTGTCAAACTATTAGAAAAACTTGAAAATCAACAAATAAATACATCTTCCGCACTCTATTCGGGAATAATTATACATTTACTTAATCTTCAACAAACACTCAGTGCCAATACTTTAGGATCATCAGTAAACAACAGGCCAATGTAAGTGACACTAATTGTATTATAGATTAAAACGTATATATTTTCTAATCTATGTATAGTAGAGGATCTCACATAGATTCACAACTGAAACAATATGTAAGTAACAGTTTAGATTAACAATTCGAAATCTTATTATTAGTTTTCTCCATAGATTAACAATCAACTTCGATATCAAAAAATAATATCACAAAAACGAATTCTATCTCACAATTCCATGTTACATCAACAATAACAAATAGATTAACACAAAACTTATTAATAGTAAAATCTCTCTATCTAAAGAAAAAACATTGATTTTAATAATTAAAAAATCATTTTCGTTTGTAGTTTCTTGTGTATTTTTGTCTTAGCTTGAAAGATAAAATATTATCTTTAATTAATGTAATACATACGAGCAAAGACGACAATTATGTTCATTATTGAGAGAAAATTATAATTTTAGTCGTTCTTTTAATAATCTATTAAAATTATCTTACAAGAATAATGAAAAAAAAAGTTAATATGGCATATCTGGTCGATTTTTGATATATTCTGCAATTTTTGGTTGTTTTTCAACTTCTTCACGATTTTGTTTTAACCATGGATAATTATTTAAAGAATTTTCATCCATTTGAAGAAGATTTTGTCCTGTATTGTAGAAATATAAATCTGCTAATGTTAAATGATTACCAACGAAAAAAGGTCCACCATCACCATATAATTTACGTAAAACATCTAAATCTTGTAAATGTTTATCTAAATCTTCGGCAAAAAATTTTTTCAAAAGTTCTTTTTTTTTTGTTTCATCTGGTTCCCAACGAGCTGGAGAATATTTTACTATTAAATCAGCAATTGTATCAACAACAGCGTCAACTTTAGCTTGTTCCAGATTATCTTTCCCAGCTAATTGAAATTGTTTAGCAAGAAAACGAGCAACAGTTATTGATTGTGGTAGTTGAGTACCATTAAATTCCAAAACAGGCATTTGACCTAATGGCATTTTAGATTTGTTTGATGGCCATTCATTACGTTCATAACGAATATCTTCAAATGTTTGACCAGCAGCAGCAAATACTAAACGAGCTAATTCACCACGACCACGAAAATTAAAATAATGAAGTTTGTATATCGACATCGATCTTGTGTGTGAATAAAAGTCAGACTATTGGAGAAAGAGAACAAGTTATATGTTACCAATAGTATTTATATACAAGAAGAGAAATTATACACGCACGTTGATATTGCATTTTTTTTTGCTTCGTCATCATGTACGAAGACATGGAAAGAATGAAAAAGAAAAGAGAACAGAACGATGACAAAGCACATTTTGTCGTTTTAACAATAGAAAATACACAACTGTTGTATGAAATGACTTAAAATAGGGTATGGATGGGACTATTGATTTTATTTCAAATTCACACTCACCCACCTTCAATCTATGTATATATTCATTCATATATTTTTTGAACATAATTAGTAATATGTTATCGCTCCAAGATTAGGCATTTAATGACGTTTGATATTTAACTTCGTATAATTATCGTTTAAGTAATAAATTATGTGAACGAATAAATGAATTGTTAATTTCGAAGAGAATATATAATTCGTTATGTCAATAGTAGAAATAAAAGGATTGTTCTATGATGTTTTACGCAGAAATAGGACGGTGAAACGTTATCTTCTTTATTATGTTTGTGATAGACAATATTTATAAGATTTTTGTTGCTTTAACTTTTATTAACAGAAGACACGAAAAGTTGCAAATGATGATGTTAGAAGCGTTGGCAAATGAATTATTACTCGATTTATTTGAATATCTTGATGTTGTTACTCTTTTCCGAGCATTCTATAATTTGAACAATCGTGTCAATATTCTTCTTTTATCTTATTATCGAGATTGTCATCTTGATGATCGTTTAGTTTTTCAATATCAATTTAATTTTTCCTCAAAACCGTTTCTTTCATCAATTGTCGAACAAATAATTTCATTACGTTTGTCATACATCAATAATGAAAATTGTGAAGAAATGGATTTGTTCGTTTTTTCTGGTCTTGTTCTTACTCAATTGATTTATTTACGATCAATTTCATTATGTTATATCAATACGAAACAAAGATTACATAAGATAATAATTGATTGTCAAAATCTTCCACATCTCACTTATCTTAAAATAGTTAAATGTCATTCAAACTTCATGAATTCACTCGATTTTTCTAACAGTATTTGGAGTCTATCTACATTAACACATTGTTGTATAGAAATACAAAATAGTTTTTGTCTACCAACAGTAGTTTCGTCATCTCTTAAATGTGTTAATCTCATGTCTAGATTGGTCAATGAGTGATATCGTTCCTCTTTGTTAACATACACCTTACCTTCAGAGTCTTGATATATCTTTGAACAAGTTAACTGATTCTTATTCGGGACTACTACCATTATTTCTATCAATAACAATATTAAAATTATCAAATATTCAATCATCATATGTGTTAACAACTATGTTAAAATCATTACCTAACTTAACTCATTTAATAGTGAATACATCTTATATTGATTATGATGGATATCGATGGAGTAGAATCATAAATGATTTTTTATCTAAACTAAAAATTTTTCGTTTAAAAATGCATATACATTTTTGTGATGAAAAAAATACTCAACAAAGAATTGATCAACTGATTAATTCATTTCGTACTCGATTCTGGCTTGAAAAACATCAATGGTTTATTCAATGTGATTATATATCTAAAGATAACTATACATGCATTCTTATTTATACCCTACCTGATACATTTTCTTAAAATAAATGAAAATATTTTCATGATTCTTTTAAAGGTATAAAACGTGTCTTTTTAACAAATTTATTCCCTTTTCTGAAAGAAAGGGTAACAGGCGCGTTACAATGCTTAAACTTTGTTTGCATAATCCAATCAGATTGCAGCAAATTATATTACAGCAAATTCTATCTATTTTATTTTAAAAAACATCAAGAATACTCTTGCCGAGGACGAGGAACTTGAATCTGGTGTTAGTTTTTGAAAAATGTTTTTAAGTACCAATTTTTTTAAACGAAGGATCACTTTTTTTACAAAAAACATTTTTTATAAAGTTTGACCATACTTAGGTCGAACTTTCCGGCTTGCATATTCGGAGGAAACTGTCAGGAACGAACCGAAAAAACTACGGAAGTGGAAGCAGTATTCTGGGACGGAAATCACCGTACCGTATCCTTAGAATTTCGGCCGTATCCATAAGCCGGAACTATATTGGAAATTCACCGGATACGATTCAGAAATACCGCGGAACATCACTGTATCCTGCCAGGATCCGTTAAGAAATCAGCAATATCCGATGGAAAATTGAATTAAAATGGTTCGACCGAAGCAATATTAAAGCACTTTTCCACAAGAACACCTCGGAAATCGATGGATTACTACTCATCAAGCACCCAGCAAACGGAAACTACAAAAATATTCCCGCGCTTTCCCACACCTTTACCTTCACCTACATCCTTATTCACACACTTACCTTCGCACACTCACGCACACACTCACACCCACCCTTCCGGTGGGATATTGTTAGCAGCAACACTTATTACAAAGTTACTGCCAACTTATTTGATCACGCTCGTGATCAAATTTCTATATGCTTCCCCCCCCCCCCTTCTCAATGTCTTCGTAGTTTCTCACCAGCTTCTATTCGTTCTTCTCTTTTCTCTCTCCCGCTATATATTTTCTCTTATTTTGTTTTTCTCTCTAGTTCATGTTTTGATATCTAGTTCATCTTTTGTCCTAGTCCACATCACTTGTTTTTGCCTCATCTATCCCGTCTCTTCCTTTTCATCCCTCTCCATTATCATTGCGTGTCCCTTGTTTTTGCTGTTTATTTTCTTTTCATAAAATAAACATCCTGATTGAAGACTTACTAAGGTAAGATTAGTTTTCATTTTTTGCTTTGTGCGCCGTATGTATATACATTCAAAGAGAAGACCTAACAGATATGAAGGGGAAGACGGCAGAAAATTCCGATGAATTCTGACGCGGAATACTGCTTCCATGAAACCTCCGGAATGCCATAGAACCGGCCGTTTCCAGACCGGATTGCTCGACCTGGATTACTCTCTTGGAATTCATCTTAAAGAAATTCGATCGCAATGAATTGGAGCACGATTATATTAAAATAAATTTTACAAATCGTTCACGTAGTCAAGCGTCATTTAGTGAATATTTGGTATCACTTGATATCACAGATGCATTAAGAGACAATGAAAAGATCTGTTTACATATATTATTCCAACACCATTTCGTCGATTATTATTATGCTGATCAATAAAAAATCAATAAGATACCTGTGGTTTTTTATTTTAATTTAGTAGACATTTGTTCTTTTCTGTTACTATTAGGGCTTATTTATGTTTTATTGAACAAGTTTATCATATTTTGATTGAAAACAAGCTATTGTGTAGGCTGAACTACTTTTTTTCTGTTTATTTTGTTGGATTTCATGTATCTTGAATAAACATCATTTGATTCTTTACTTAATAAATCCTTACTTAAATGATTCATATCGATAAATATATTTAGTACATACGTTCATCGTAGTATATATGTATTCTTGTTCATACCCTACCTGATACATTTTCATCCGATCGAGATTCAATGATTATTTTTGTGAATAATAATTAATAATTTTATTAAAATAAATCAAAATATATTTTTATGATTGACGTAATTGAATAGAATCCTTAATAAGATCAATTTCTTTTAAAGGTATAAAACGTGTCTTTTTAACAAATTTATAAATAAAAAAAACAATTAAAAAGACAGGTATTGTTAGATATGCTGATAAAAAATTAGTAAAATTAAATGGTTTTATTGTAAACGCTGAATAACCTTGTCCGAATATTGATGTAAATATCAATATTGTTGCTATTATTTGTCCATATGGATATAAAAATGCTTTATAAACAAGATTATCTAATGAATAACCTTGTAAAATATATGCTTGACGAAATCTGAAATGAGAAAATATAATTCCAAGCCAAGCTATAAAACCCATCACACCAGTTATATTAATTAACCATTGATAAATAATTTGATTACCAATAAATGATAAAGCAAATAATGATGTTGAAAGTATTGTTGTAAATAAAAGTGACCAAATTGGTATTCCTGCTTTTGTTAAATAACAAAATTGTTTTGGTGCTTTATTTTCTTTCGCTAATGAATATAAAATACGTGTACAAATATAAAGACCCGAATTACCAGCTGATAATATTGTTGTTAATATAACACCATTCATAATATGAACAGCTGGTTTAATACCTGATTTAAGAAAAACAAGTGTAAATGGTGATACAGCTACATTTTTAACATCACCAACATGTACTAATCCACTATGATTATATGGAATAACTAAACCCATTATTATTATTGATCCAACAAAAAATAAAATAATACGCCAAATTGTTCCATTTATTGCACGTGGAACGTCACGACGAGGATTCTCACTTTCACCTGCTGCTATTCCAATTGTTTCAGTTCCCTAGCACAAAATTTATTTTTATTTTAAATTAAAATATTTCTTTACTTGAAAAGCAAATCCCGAAATAATTGAAGTTGTAATAATTCCAGCAAAACCTTTATAAAAAGGAGCACCTTTAATATTCCAATTTTTTCCATAAATTTTTTCGTGACCTAAAACTCCAATATCAACTAAAACACCAATAATAATAAAAATAATAACAGTTAGAACTTTAATCATAGCAAACCAATATTCAGCTTCGCCATAACCTTTAACTGTAAATCCATTTAATATAAACATTATTGTCATTCCTACTAATGACCAAATTATACTTGGAAAATTAGGTAACCAAAATTCAACAATTATTCCTGCAGCAACTAATTCACCGGAAATCGTTGCTACCCACGAAAAATAATAATTATATGCTAATGCAAAACCAAATGCTTCATCAACAAAACGACTTCCATATGTATTAAATGAACCACTTATTGGATATTGCGTTGAAAGTTCAGCTACATTATTAAAACAAAAACTAAAATTTATTGAAATAAAATAAAAAGTACAAACCTAAACTTGTCATAACAAAATAAACCATAATAGAAATAATAAGATAAGAAGTAAGAGAACCACCAGGGCCTGATGAAGCTAATGCTTGACCAGAAGCTAAAAATAAACCGGTTCCAATAGTTCCACCTAATGCAATCATTATCATATGTCGTTCTTTTAAATGTCGATGAAGTTCATTTCCTTTTTTTATATTATTATCAATATTTGGTTGACAATAAGATGATGAGATAACATTGATCTAATTTATTAATTAAAAGAATATTTGTTTTATTTAAATTATCTTTTACTTGAATAGCATTATCAATAACTTTTTCATTGCTAATATTCGATGTTAATTCTTCATTTAACATTTTTCTGTATTAATCTTTCACGATAAAATTTATTGTTAGAATGACAAACAATAATATATATATATATATATATATATGTTGATGAACTTTATTTTCTTATCAAAGTTAAAAAGAAAAATGTAAAAAGGATAATTATTACATTTAAGAAAGGTCTTTAGATTATTTTTAAACAAAATATTTTACTTTTGTTTTTTCTCTTTATTTCAATAGTCAATTGAAGAGACAGATCATCATTATGAAAATAAATCGATCGATTTTATAATCTTCAAGTGAAAAGTAAAAGACATCGTTTCAGTGACTTATTAATAGAAATGATTATCTTTCGTTCGTTCGAATTGATAAGAAATACTCGTGATATTTATTAAAACAAAGTCTAATTATTGACATTCTTCTCATCGTTTTATTTAATCTTAAAGTGCAAATGAGATTTTTAACTAGTTTTTGGTTCTTTTGAGAAAATTTCTTCTGATTCATGTCTAATGACGGAATAAACTCAAATGACAAATCGAAATCGTCAGTATTTCATCATTTTTCATAAGTTCTATATTTGCAATATAACGTGTCAACTAGTCATTGCACAATCAGAGAGAACAAATATAAATAGAAAGAAAAGTAAAAAACATCGACATAAACATATTTCAAAATATTTTTATTAAAATGGATAAACAAATTGAAGTAAATCTAAATGCATTACCAAAAGAAATACTTTATAGAATTTTCAATTATCTTGATGATTTTCATATATTTTGTACAATGAAAAATGTATCAATATATATGAATACAATTATAGATCAATATCATCGATATAAGGTATACAAACTTTATTTTTATTCACTTTCTTTAAATTTAAATATTTCTATATAGATATTAACAACACTTCAATTATGTAACAAAAAACTAGGTGTAGAACAAATAATACTCGTTGCTAATACTCTTAAAGAAAATCAAGTAAGATTTTATTCTATTCTAAAATAAATTTGTATAACTTAACTAATAGATTGTTACTACACTTGATCTTGGAGTTAATGGATTTGGTGATGAAGGAATATATTATCTATCTAATGCTCTACAACAAAATCAAGTTAGATTTTTCTCTTGTTTATCTATTGTTTTTATTTATTATTTTTCTCTAGACATTAATTAAATTATGTCTTCAACTAAATAAAATCGGCTCACAAGGAACAGAATATCTTGCTAATAGTTTAATACAAAATCAAGTAATATTATTTTTATTGATTGATCAATTATTTAATATAAATAATTAGACATTAACTAGACTTAATCTTCATTATAATGAAATTGGTGATGAAGGGGCAAAACATCTTGGTAATGTTCTTCAACAAAATAAAGTTAGTTAGATATTGTACATAGATTTATTTTTAATTTCTTATTTTTATTCGAAGACATTAATTCGATTAAATCTAATACATAATAAAATAGGTGAAGAAGGAACATATTATCTTGCCAATGCTTTAAAACAAAATCAAGTTAGATTAATTAACTTTCATTTTCTTATTTTTTTTTTCTTTAGACATTAACTACACTTTATCTTGCAGAAAATGAAATTGGTGATAAAGGAACTGAATATCTTGCTAATGCTTTAGAACAAAATCAAGTAATTAACATTTATTTTATTTTATTTCATATTTATTTATTATTTTAATAAAGACATTAACAATACTTTATTTGGCTAAAAATAATATTACTGATATTGGAGCAGAACATTTTGGTAATACACTTAAACAAAATCAAGTAATGTTACATCTGCATTAACATAATTTAATTGTTAATTATTTAATCTATAGACACTTGTAACACTTAGTTTAAAAGCAAATGAAATAAGTTCACAAGGAGCAGAATATCTTGCTGATGCTCTTGAACAAAATCAAGTAATTATTTGTATTATATTCTAATATTTATTTAATAAACTATCTTTATTTAGACACTTAAAACATTAAATCTTAAATGGAATAAAATTGATGATGAAGGAGCATCTTATATTGCTCAAAGTATTTATTTAAATAAAGTAACAAATTTTTTTTATTCATTCGACGTTCTATTGTATTTGTATATAGACACTCAACTTCTTGGATATACGATTCAATAAAATCAATGAGAATGGAAAAAATCATCTTATCAATGTACGAAATATGAAATTTCCACTAAAATTAATTTTTTAACAAATAAAAAGACAAATTATTTTCTATAATCTCGATTTTTTATTTTTTTTTTATTTAAAAAATTCAAAATAACAAATAATGCAAAAGTTTTGTCCTATTGATTATCTATCTATCTATTTCGTTCACTGATATCTTCATTCTTTAATGACATCTATTAGTAGATCTTTGTGATTTGTTTGATTTTTAACGAAAAAAAAAGAGATCTAAAATTTCTAGATAATTTTATTCCATTTTTGATCAAAGAAAAATTTTGTAAAATGTTAAAAATATTTTCTAATGAAAATTTCAAATTGATTTATATAATTATTCCATCAAGAATCTCTTTTATCAGATCATATTATAATTTAACTAATGAAATGAAATATTTCAACGATAAAAAGCAATTTCAAAAAGCATTAGAATTATTTTATCAATGTGAACAAACAAATAATGAAATGATTTCGGATTTATCTATTAATCAAGCATTAAAATCTTGTACTAATATAAAAGATTTTCAATCTGGTTTAAATATTTATCAACGATATTCATCTCAAATAGAAAAAAATAATTATATATTAGCATCACTTATTCATTTTTACAGTTAATAAGAATAATCGATTCTCAAATTTCAATTCATCTCATTTTATATTTAGTGCAATCAAAAGATATTAAGAATGCTCAAATACTCTTTAATAGATTAAAAAATAAAACTGTTGGAATTTATGGAGCAATGATGAAAGGTAACAATATTACTTATAAATTAAATTAACAAGTTTTTACTTTATTTAAATAAACAACAGGATATATTACAAATAATATGCCACAAAAAGCAATTGATATTTTCTTTCAAATTACAAATCCAAGCATAACAAATGTATCGTTATTATTTAATGCATGTGCTCGAATTGCAACTGATGAAACATTAAATTTAGTAAAAAAAGTTTTATCTAATCTTCCAGATCAATATCAAAATGATAAATATATTTTAACAACTGCATTCGATGCTTTTATTAAATCTAATGATTCATTAAATGCTGAAAGAATTTTTCCTAAAATTCCACAAAATCGACTTAGTTATGGAAATTTAATGAGTGCATTTAATAGAACTAATCAACCACAAAAAACATTAGAATTCTATAAACAAATGAAAATAAATCAAATTGAATTAGATCCACCAGTTTGTGTTTTATTAATTAATGCATGTTCTGCTCTTGGAATATATTCTAAATCAAAATCAATATCTGAACAAATTCCTAAATCATATCTTGATAATATCTTTATTAACAATGCATTAATTGATATGTGGGTAAGAATATTTATTAAATTAACTGGAGAATATATGAAATATTTTTTTAATTCAATAGGGAAAATCAGGTTGTGTTGAAAAAGCAAAGAATATATTTGATTCATTAATTCAACCAGATACAATTGGATATACATCAATGAGTTAGTTACAATAATAATATTATCTTACTGAATTTATTCTATAGGTTTTTATTTAAATTAGTTAATTCATATGGTTTAAATGGAATGGGTTCTGAAGCAATTGAATTATTTTATAAAATGCCATCAAAACTAATTATGGAAGAAACTTATGTTTGTGTTTTAAATGCATGTTCACATTCACGACTTGTTGAACAAGCTCAAAAGATATTTTCTAATATAGAAAACAAAACAGAAAATATTTATACGACTATGGTTACTTTTTTTGTTTTCATCTTAAATAAATTTTTAAATTTATTTTTTAGGTCGATTGTTTTAGTCGTTCATTTCTTTTTGAAGAAGCCGAGAATATTATTAATATTTATGAATCTAATCATTCACCATCACCATCAATGCTTAGTATGTCTTTATTTTCTTGGAAATATATCTTTCTATCTATTCTTTAAGTGTCATTATTATCCGGTGCTCGAAATGCAAAGAATTCTCAATTAGCTGAAAAAATCTTCAATCGTATTGAAAAATATTTTCCACAAATTCAAGATCGAATTGTTTCAGCTTCTATTTTACTTGCAAATGTTTATGCATCGACTGGTCAAATGGAAAAATCATCAAATATAAAAAGAAAACTAATTCAAGCTAATTTGAAGAAACCAAGTGGACTATCTTATACAGAAGTTAATGATGAAATATATGTAAGTGTTTCTATCTAAAGATCTTCTATTAAAATTTTTAATGAATAGATGTTTCGAGCTCATGATTCATCTCATCCTCGATCCAGTGAGGTCTCTGATGAAATTGAAAAAATTTCTAAAGAACTTATTTCATATGGTCACAAATATGATTCAAGTTGTATTACACGACCATTAAATGAGAATGAAAGTGTTGAATCAGTTCTTTGCGGACATAGTGAAAGACTTGCAATTGCATGGAACTTTGTTGCAAATCCAAATATCTCACGAATTCAAATAACAAAAAATCTTCGCGTTTGTGATGATTGTCGTATGAAATAAAAATATATTTTCTTATTCTAAATGATTTCTTTTTTTTATAGATGAATCAACAAAATTAATTGCTTTAATTCGTCAATGTGAAATAATTGTTCGTGATGCAAGTCGAATTCATCATTTTCATAAAAATGGAAAATGTTCATGTCAAGATTATTTTTGAATAAAAAAAGTAAATTAAACTAGATATTTAGAAATAAATATTCTTGGAAAATATATTGAATTATATTAGGAGAAATTTATTTCAATGAGAATATATCATAGAATATCGATGTAAAATTCTCTATTGATATCTATAGAAGAAATATTTATAACATATAGAATAATTTCGATTCATCTTTGTTAAAGACGATGAATATTAATTATTAATTTTTGTAAATAAAATATTTTCATTCTATTAGGAAAGACACATTAACATGTTTTCTACAAGAGGCTGATAAATGAATCTATTTTATAACAAAATTCTATCATTTGACCAACGTTTAGTTTATAATTTAAATACTAGATCATATTTTTATTTAATTATATTGTTAAAGATTTCCTTGACTTTAAATTGATGATAAAATCGTATTGTATCTTGGCAATAATCATTTCGATATAATATAACCTATTTTTTATTGATATATTTAAGAATTGTTTAGAATAAAGTTATTTTTCTTCTTCATATATCTATATATTATATCAAATCTATTTCCTCTTTTATAATAGTTAGTTATATTTTTCTTTTTTAAACATAGAAATATATTTGATTTTGATTGGTTTATCTTTCGGTTGTGAAGTTTTGTTTAAGAAGTATAGTTCAGTAATATTGTTTCTTTCAGAATGACTCTTATCATAAATTATACGAAATTTATTTTCTAAATAATGATAAAAAAGATCTATTAACTCTATAACGAAAAAAGAGATTGTTTTTCATGAAAATAAATCTAGTTGACGTAATAATATAAATTTTAACAGGTTTTAATTAAAATTTCAAAGTGATCAGTATTATAACATGCAATAACAATATCCAATGAATTATCATGATTTAAATCTTTAACAGAAATTCCATAAGGAGTATATTGATATCCTAATGGATAGAAAGTTTCATTTGTAAATATTCCATTGCCCTGTCCATAGAGAAAAAGAAGATTATTTGTTCCAGAGTTTGCAATAATAATATCTAAAATCGAATCATTATTAAAATCATTTATAGATATTGTTGATGGACGAGAACGATCTCCTGTTGAATAGATTTTTGAAATTGAAAATTCTCCATTACCAATTCCAATAAAAATCATAATATTATCAGTTTGAGAATTGGAAACAACAATATCTAAATTTGTATCATTATTTAAATGAGAAGTAACAACACAATAAGGAGAAGAATTTATTCCAGTTGAATATGAAATCATCGAATTAAAAAATCCATTTCCATATCCAAGAAATATTCCAATATTTGAAGTACCATAATTAGCTACAACAATATCCGAATAATTATCATTATTAAAATCACCAATAGCAACTGATTGTGGTTGAGATTGATCACCAGTAGAAAATGTTGTTAAACTTGCAAATGGTTCACTACTATATCGAATAAATATTCCTATTTCATTTGATAATTGATTTGAAAGAGCAATATCTAATTGATTATCTTTATTAAAATCACCTAGAGCTAATTCAGTTGGTCCAGATCCAATTCCAGTTGAATAAGATATTCCTAATAAAAATGATCCATCTCCAACTCCAAAAAGAATAACAATACTATCACTTCCAAAATTAGTAACAACAATATCTAATCGATTATCATTATTAAAATCATTAATGGAAAGACATCGTGGAGAAGAACCATCACCAGTTGAATAGATAACAACATCAGCAAAAGATCCATTCCCATATCCCAAAAAAATACCAATACTATTACTATTATAATTAGTAACAACAATATCGAAATAATTATCATTATTGAAATCACCAAGAGAAACACAAGTTGGATTAGATTGAGAAGTCAATGAATATGTTATTTGATTTGAAAAACTTCCATTTTCAGATCCAAAAAAAATACCAATATTTGAAGTACCATAATTAGCACAAACAATATCTTGATGATTATCACCATTTAAATCATTAACTGCAACTCCCCATGGATAAGAATTATCTCCAGTATAATATGTTATCATACTTGTAAAACTTCCATTCCCATATCCATATAAAATATTAAGAGTATGAGAATTAATATTAGTTAGAACAAGATCTAAATAATTATCATGATTAAAATCACCAACATCTCTTCCATAATAATTTGAACTATTTTCAGTTGAAAAATAACTTGTATTTGCAAAAGATCCATTTCCATATCCGAGATAAATAGCAATATTACTAAGACCAAAATTAACAACTAAAATATCCGAATGATTATCATTATTGAAATCAGCTGTGAGAATCGCTCGTGGAATTGAATTATCTCTAGTTGAAAATAAGAATAAATCCATAAAAGTTCCATTATTATTTCCTAGAAGAATGCCAATATTATTAGTAAGAGAAAAACTTATAATAATATCAAGATAATTATCATGATTAAAATCAGCAACTCGTATTCCCCATGGACCTAAAGCATTAATATTTGAATAAGTTATTTGATTATAAAATGATGCATAATCATATCCAATAAGTAAACCTATATTATTCGTATTTTTATTAGTAAGAACAAGATCTAATCGATTATCATTATTAAAATCTGCAAAAGTAATTCCAGTTGGATATGAATTCAATCCAGTTGAATAGATTTTTTGTATTTGAAAACTTGTATTTTCATCTCCCATAAATAAAGTAATCGTATCATTTAAAGAATTAACACTAATAATATCAATATAATTATCTTTATTAATATCAACAGTAAGAATATATTCAGGATGAGAATTAATACCAGTTGAATAAAGAATTTCTTTTCCAAATGTATTATTACCTAAATTAAAATATATTCCAAGATTATCAGTTCCTGAATTAGCAATAACAATATCAAATTGTTGATCATTATTTAAATCATTAATAGAAACTGAATATGGATATGATGCTGAACCAGTTAAATATGTTATTTCATTTTCAAATAATGCAATAGAATATTCACTTAATATACCAATATTACCTGAACCTGAATAAGTAACTACCAATTGGGATTGATTACTGTTCTCAATAAATCTATCAAATGCAATACCTAATGGAAGTGAACCTGAACCAGTATGAAAATTTCTTGCTAATTCAAAAGTTCCATTATTAAATCCAAAAAAGATAATTATTTGATTATTTCCTTGATCAGTAATAGCAAGATCATAATATTTATCATCATTAAAATAAATAACAATAACAGAATATGGTAAAGTATTAATACCAGTTGAATAAAATGTTAAATTTGTAAATGTTCCATTAGTAGATCCAAAAAGTATAACTATAGTTGATGTATATGTACTACAAGTAACAATATCTAATTGATTATCATTATTAAAATCAGCAAGAGTAGATGAATAAGGATATGAACCATCTCCTGTTGAATAAAATATTCCCATTTCAAAACTTCCATTACCAATTCCAAAATGAATACTAAGACCTTCGTAATAAAAATATGTAATAATAATATCTAATTGTTTATCATTATTGACATCAGCCATCGTAATTGAATATCCAATTGCAAGAATACCAGTTGAATATGTTATTGCATTATTAAATGTTCCATTTTGAAAAGCAAGAAGAATAATTAAATTTCCATTATTTGAATTAAAAGTAACAATATCTAATTGATTATCATTATTAATATCTCCAATAGCAAGACTAGATGGATTAGAATTAATACCAGTTGAATATATTGTTACATTAGCAAATAATCCATTAGTTTGTCCAAGAAGAACACCTATACTATCAGATCCAAGATTAGCAGTAACAATATCGATTTGTTTATCTTTATTTAAATCAGCCAAAAGAATAAATTGTGGAGATGAATTATAACCTGTTGAATATGTTGAATCTATATTAAATATTCCATCACCTTCATTAGTTAATAAAACAATATTATTATCATTTATATTATTAACAATCATATCAAGATATGTATCTTGATTAAAATCATAAATAACAATCGAACTAGGAAGAGAATTTTGACCAAGAAAATAATTTGTTGATGTTGCTGATGGTTTATTTGAATATTTATTAAGTAAAAGTATATTATTTGTATTATAATTAGCTACAACAATATCTGATTGATTATCATTATCAAAATCATTAATAGCAACAAATATTGGATAAGATTTCGATATTCCATCATAGATTGTTACAAGAGGAAATGTTCCATTTTCATCTCCTGGAAGAATATAAATTTTATCATTTATTGAATCAACAACAATAAGATCTAATTGATTATCATTATTAAAATGAGCAACATTGATATTATTTGGATATGAATTTAATCCTGTTGAATAAATAATTTGATTTGTAAATGTTCCATTTGAATAACCATAAAATATTCCAATATTTGAATTAGCAGAATTAGTAACAACAACGTCTAATTGTTGATCATTATTAAAATCAGCAATTGAAATTGAAGATGGATTTGAATGGAGACCTGTTGAATAAATCTTTTGTTTTGTAAATGTACCATTTCCATATCCGAAAATAATTTCAATATTTGATGTTCCATAATTACAAATAGCAATATCTAATTTCTTATCATTGTTAAAATCAGCAATTCCTAATGAATATGGATAAGAATCATAACCTGTAAAATAATTTATTGAAGATTGAAAAGATCCATCACCCCGCCCTAACAATATTCCAATAGAATCACTTCCATAATTAACAACAATTAGATCGATTTTATTATCATTATTTATATCAGCTGCACTAAGAAATAATGGACGAGATGAATCAGTTGAAAATATATTTTCATTTCTAAATGTTCCATTTCCATATCCTAAAAAAATTGCAATATTATTTTGACCAAAATTAGCAACAGCAATATCAAGAAAATTATCATTATTAAAATGATTAAGAAGAATTGAACGTGGATAAGATTGATCACCAGTTGAATAGATTATTTGATTTGAAAATAGAAAATCGTCATTATTGGAAAGAAATATTCCAATTGTATGTGTACCGGAATTTGCAATAACAATATCTAATTGATTATCATTATTTAAATCTCCAATAGCTACAGATGAAGGTTTTGAACTATAGATTATTGAACTTTTATTTATTTGTTTTAAAGATAATTCACATATTGAATCTAAAAGAAAATATCTATACAAACTAACTTGACAATTGATTAAGAAATAACATACTTAATTTTGGTGAAGTCAAACAAACAATTAATACACCAATAATTATTACGATAAATGTAAATAAAATAAATCTAAAAACATCTTTTGTACTTGTTTTTTTCCTAGAAATCATCAATGTTTATCAAATTCATATGATTAACAATTAATTTTGTTACCAGAATATTTTATTTTCAACATTTTTCCTCTGGTTATGGTTATGATTAGATGATATTTTTAATTGATTATCACGAGATTGTTCATTTGATGAATCACTTATTGATCTCAGTTCAATATCCATTAGAATCTATTTAAATCTATCAAAACAAATTAATATATTATATCAAATAACTAAATATGTAAGAGAATCGACTACGAAGTAGACAGAGACATGTACTTTTCAGTTTTAGAAAGAGCGATATCACACAAAATCTCATAGTCCCTTATCTGTCAAATTGAAGAGAAACGATTGTCTACTATGCAAAGCATATTCAAAGAAATCTCATAGTTAATAAAGTTATCTAAAAGTTTCAGTGAAAACAAATATTTCTTTCCCGATCGGGAGATATTGAATTTCGATGTAACAAGTTAATAATATCTTCACATTTTCGACCTATACAAACAAAGAGTCATGAAAATATCGATTAAAATATTCTACCTCGTTACTCGAAATGATTTTAATTTAATAGAGTGACAAAGTATACCTTAAACTTAAACGTTTTCAGTTTTATGCATATCTGTGGATGATTGAGTCAATCACTAAAAAGTGCATTCTCACTAATGCATATCTAATTTATATGAAAACTATTCGAATTCCAATACGAATTTCATGTTTCGATTAAAAAAAATACAATTTTTATTTTTCCTTACTTGTTTTTTTTTCTTAATTAGGAATCTTATTTTGATCTATTTAACAATGAAAAAAATATGACATGGACAATATACGCATCATTAGTTTTGTAATAAAATGACAAAGCTTCATTCAACGTCAACGTCAACGCTATCATTTCAATGTTTTCTTGTTATTTATGCTTAATTATTTCTCATCAACATTCCTCCATGTAATTTACTTTTTTCTTTCGTAAGACGAAAAAATCAAAATCAACAATCTCAATTATTGCTTCATTCATATTTAGTCGTCTTTTATCGTTCTATCGTCATAGTAATTATTTTATTCACGAGAGAAAATATTCGTAGATTTGTTTTCTGTGTGATTTCATAGAACGAAACAAAAAATATGAGGGTAGGACTAAATTAATAATTTCTACTTGTTGTTGTTGTCAATTTCAATATATGATCCGTGTAATATCAAACATAATTAGTATTAGATTTCGTTTAAATAATATTCTGTTAATATTCTTTCATTTATTTGCCGATATTATAAAATAGATCTTATGCATATCTTAATATGAAATGTTAGCGAAAATAAATAGAGAGATTGATCAATGGAAGATTTCTATTAAAGATAAGACAAATAAAAGATTTTCTTGTTTAATTAAATCTTCTTCATAATTTTGTCTCATGTAACAAGATCTCACATATATATAACAAATACTATAATCGATTTCAAAATAGAAAACGAGTGATTAAAAACCGAATAACTCGCCTTTTGTTTACAAACGGATAGAAATTGTCTAGTTTTGCATTGAAAATTATCAGTTTTTCTTGTTCTACCTAAGATTTTCATGAAATGAATCGGAATATTTGAGGAAAATAGTAAGATTATTGAACCAAATGAACTTGTGTCATAATATCTTGTGTTGTACTGCATTGTGTTCGAGTTGAGATTCATATTCTTAACTTCACTCTCACATCCACTCCCTTAATCTAGGTGGAAATCGAAATTTAATAATCTTTGTATTAATAAATAAATCAATCTAACATTAGTTTGATATAATAAAAACTAGAAACTGAAATAGGTATAACGTAACTAAAAAATATCTGTGAAATAAAATAATCGATTAAAATATTTTCTTGATAATAGAAAAGCATAATTTTATTGAATATAATAATATGAACTATAAGTAGCAGAAATAACTATTTCGAACTAACGAAATTTAAACATAACAGGAAAGAATCTTATTTACTATTTTACCTTGATTTCTACTACATAAAAATAATGATCAGTAATTAGAAGAATATATCCAGTTAACACTTCCAAAGAGTAGAAAATAAAGAATAATTACTGAGAATTGAGCAAATTGATTTTAATAGCGAAAATTCTACTAAAAATACTCTTCATGATGTTCGATTAACAGAAAAATAGGTTGATGGATTTGACGTGATTCACGTTGAATAGTTATTTCATAGTTATTTACTAAATAATTTTCTAGATTAACAATTAAATTAACTTTTGAATTAATAATAATTCATATTATTCCATTAATTCTAACACACTTTTGTTCATTCAAACAAATAAAATTCTCTTGAATAATATTTTGTTTTTTTTCGAATTCTATTAATTAAAATAATAGATCTTGCTCGATTACATCATAATGAAACACAAAGAACAAAAACAAAATAAACTTTCAAACGTACTTTAACAATAAGATGAACATGCGTACAATATTTCTCTATTAAATTGTTGACGTGCCGAATAATTTATTCATTCAATAAATGTTACTTTTGATAATACGAGAAGGTAATAGTTTTCTCCAAGTATCGAGTGCTTTAAGTGCTCACATATCTTTTTCTTTTGCTTCTCAATCACATCAATTACTCTTATTATTAGATAATAACAATAACATCTATTCAAATATTTGTTCATGTGTAAGATTCTGTTCGATATCTTTAATTAAATTCTAGTGAAATCAATTGAAAATTTGTGTTTCATATTAGAGAATATAATAATTAATTCATGGTCATATTACTCATCACGTTATGTAACTAATTAAAAATCAAATGAAGTTGTTGGAATAGTTCGCTCTGCTCCCTTTATTTTCTGTTCTATTCTCATCAAATATAATACGACAGAACACATTTCTATTCTATGTTTTTTTGTTGTTTACACGTTGAGTTCGCGCACACTGAAAGTATGGGAGAACTTAAAGTGCGCGAGCACTTTTAGTGTGCGCAAACTTCTACAGCGGCGAGAGAACGAAAGAAAAAGTAGATATCTCATCAATGAACTTGTAATTTTAAAAAAATATTTCCGATTAATTTTGTTTGAAATTGAACTTGAGAATTGTAAATAAATGTAAATATTAAAAATAAGAAAATATTTTTCAAGAAATCGATTATTAATTAAATCTATATTTTATTTAAAAACAATAAATAAAAATAATATGAATGTGTATTTTATTGAATTTGAAACATAGACATTTACTCACACATATATCTAAATCCTATTCATCCAAACTCTGAAGATGTTTCTTCAACATGCGCACTCCCGGTTCATCCGACCTCGCCGTGCGCACTTTTTTTTATGGTAAGGATGAGTCAACCTTTTCCTTTATAAAGTCGACGAACATCGTTGCGTTCTGTAGTATTTTTTACTTCTTTTTCTTTTCTATTACCATCAATACGTTGATTATAATACAAGCAAATATTATTCATTTTCACAAAACTAACGGTTAGCTACTAAACTACATTGACATAATAAATCTAGAATCTAGATATGACTATAATTTAGTTGCGAATGATTCCTTTTAAAACAAATTGATTTGTTAGTGAGTGAACGCTTCCTTCCATTGTATCATTTTCTTTCTACTAACATGTTCTCGTCTTCACTATATTTTATTTTCGTTTAATTCTCTAATCATACATGAACACGTATATGTTTCTGTTTCTTATATGTTCATCAATATTCTCTATGAGCTTCTAATGAGTTCTTTTCCTCTAACCATAATCAAATAAGAATTCTTATATTTTGATTAACGATCAAAAATAATAAAAACAATTTTATTTTTTTATATAATTCTATAATCCAGAGAATATTTTCACGTAGAAAAAACTTAGAAACGTTAAGATTAGATTAGATTTAATAATACTTTTATTTAAAATGTGATTATTTTATTTTTAGAATTCTTTTGTAATTATTTCTTAATTGCTAGTCAATTTAATATGTCTAATGGAAATACAACTCTGAGCTATACACCAGGCGGTGCTGATGATCCATCAAATCCATTTCATTATATGCCTTCATTGGCTCCTACTATAGTATCGTTAATCTTCTTCATACTCTTATTTATTAGTCTCACCATTTTAACGATCTGGAAACGAAGTTGGTATATGATAACACTTTTAGTTGGATGTATTTTGGAAATCATAGGTTATGGAACTCGAATTCCATTAGTTTCAAAACCAGTGGGACAAATCCCTTTATATGCATGTATGAATGGTTGTCTTATAATTGCACCTGTTTTTAATGCTGCAATTGAATATGTGTTATTTGGTCGATTAGTTCATGCTCTAGGTGATCAATATTCATTAATCAAACCAAAATTGATTTCTTGGATTTTTATTATTTGTGATGCTTTTTCATTTTTAATTCAAATAAGTGGTGCTGGATTACTCACTTCAGCTAAAGATGGTGCAGGCGCCCAAACTGGTCAGACTATTCTTCTAGCTGGTCTTGGAATCAATCTCGGCTCATTTGCTATTTTCTGTCTTCAACTCTTCTATTTTGAATATCGTATAAGAAAATCACCTCCGATATTTCCAAATGGTAGTATTTATGAGAAACGTTGGCGACGATTTGTCTATATTATTTATCTTAGCAGCACTCTTGTCTTGATTCGACAAATTTATCGTGTAATTGAATTTGCTCAAGGTTTTACTGGTTATTTAGCAGTTCATGAAATCTTTTTTTATATTTTTGATACAATACCTATTTTTATATCCAGTGCACTCTACGTTATTTGTTTTCCTGGTAATAATTATTTACCACCAAATCAAAATGACACTTTTGCTACAATGAACAATAACGAATACAATTCAAACAAAACGAATAATAACGTCATCATTCCTGAAAAGAATCTTGTTCTTAAAGAAATGTTTTAAACTGTGAACATTTAGTCATAAGAATTTTTATTGTCTATATATACATCGATATTGTATTGTTTCGTGATATATTTATTATCTTTGATGTCGTAAATAAAAATAAAATATTTTAAACTATATGTGCTCTTTTCACAAGAATAAATCAATATAGATATTCATCTGTAAAATATCAACTTTATTATAGATCTTCTAAAATAGAATTTACATAGAAGTTTTTCTGCAATCTTTACCATTTGTTTTCGTTCGTGCATTGCACTACCAAAGAAAAATTATTAGAATATAACAACATAGATAAGACTGAAGCAAGTAAAAAACTTCTTCCAGTTCCATAAAATTTTTAGTTTCGAGGTTTATGCAGAAATATTATTTTGTTTTTCCTAAGATTCCTTATGTTTTTATGTGAATATCTATACAGATTAAATCTTTAATTTCCATGATGGAAAAAAGAAAACATAGAATTGATTGATTCTCGTCTTGATTAAACATTGGAAATTTATAATGTTTTATTAAACTAATCTAGACTTGTTCAATATGAGACTGCGGATAGATATTCTATCATGATCCTTATTCAAATTTTTCCTTAGCATCAGACGCATAGATATTCTTCAATTTCCCCCGTCATGTGAGATTTGAAACATCGCTGTCAAGTAAAAAATTATTGAAAATCGTTAAGATTGGTGTTGAATTACTAATTAGTGTTAATAATAAATATGAAATCTTATCTCGGAAATTGAATTCCTATGCGAAATTTTTTTTACTTCCTTTGACGTTAAACTTTCTTAACGTACGACCGTTTGAAATCAAATTTTGATGATTTTATTTAATCTATTTTAGATAATCTATAGTTCTTGCAAAAGAGATAGTGTGGATAAGACAAAATGACGAGCATACGTTTTTGTCTGACTAAAAGTTTCATCAGTTAACTATTCTTTTAAAATTTTCTATATCTTTATAATCTTCTCACAAATAAAATAATTGAAAAACAATTATGATACTACCAAAACAAATTTGCCATAATAGTTCTTTTCGTCATTTGACTTAGACCATGAGCTGTCAATTGTAAGATAATTAAGTACGAATAAGAGAGTCAAAATAAAACTCGAAAGGATACTCGCGATACGTATTTTAAAAACTCAATCGTCTACTATTCTTGAGAGAATGATTAATGATTGATTTCTCTTTATTTTGTCAATACATAAAGTTAAATTACTTTATACCATTATAAAAAGCACTTCTGTTTTCCAAAACAACATAGACCGATTAAGATGACTTGCAATCGATTTAACTCTTTAAATTTAAGCATTCCGATAACTACCACTGCATACTTATTCATAAGAAGCAAGATAAGTGAAACTTTCATCTTGCCTGGAAACAATAATGATATACTTTACTTTGCACAAATACATCTGTAATGTCAAAGTTAGCTTTTCAGTTAGAATTAGTCTATATAATTGCAATCAAAAATGCTCCTATGACTATTTAAATGTATCTTCTTTATACATATTACCTAAGTTAATAGTCTGTTTATTATGATATTATCAACACAAATATAAATAACTATTTGTCTACTACATAAATGTAAAGTTTTTCAGTAACGAATTAGAAAAAGAAAATTAACTCGATTTGTCTGATTTCTATTATTAAATACGATTATGATAATTATAGAAAATAAGATTTAGAAAGAAATATGTAAAAAATGTTTTTCTCTCATTTATTTTTAAATAAAAACAAAAAATAATATTGATATTTATGACAACAATTCTGACTACAAAATATCTACACACAACAACAAAACTAAATTGAAATAAAACAAACATTGTTAACATAAAATCCAATCATAATTGAATATAATATAAATTGAAAAATCGATTTTCTGATGAATAAAACAATGTGAATTTATAAAATACGTAATATTGATTTCATAATTGGTAATAATTGTTTTGTATCATCTGGTGATAATGTTTTTAATATATTATTTCTCATATCATCATGAAGTTTTTGCCATGAAATAACATGAGGAATAAGTTGACTAAATAAATCAATAGCTTTTTTATATCCATGATTAGTTTCAATATATTTCCATAATAATTCTGTATAATAATTATGTGCACGATATACAGACATATTATCATTAAGTATTTGTTCATCATCATTATAATTCGTTATTGAAAAACCTTTTGTAAGAATAAGTATAATAAGAATTAATTCAATTATTTTTCTATCACATTGAGCTATTTCTAAAAATGAATGAAAGATTTTGTGTAATTGTTTACAAATCTGATAACCATGAAGTACTGAATAGTATTGGGTATTTGATGGAGCATCAGAATCATTTTCGATTATTTCACACGTATCAGTTTTATATGAAAGTGCTGTATTGATACCAAGAATTGTTATAAGATTATGTTTTATTAAAGTTACTTTGTCATCAACATTTAATTGATCAAATTCAGGTATTTGTTTAAAATATGATAAAAGTCTCATAACTGGTACTGATTGACTATTAAGAACTTCAATAAATGTTTTTGTATGCATTGATGGATCCCATGGAAGACCACTACGAGCCGCTAAAATATATATAGATAGAAACAAAGATAAAAAATCTGAAATAATTATATCTCATTACCAAATTCAATACGATTATGATAAGAATTAGATATAGTTTCAATACGTTGTAAATCGTCTGAAGTGAGTAATGCTTGTTGTGGTTGAGTTTGTAAAAGATAAGTAAAATCTGTAAAAAGAACATTTGTATCTATTGATGGAATTAACTAGAAATAATAGAAAAATTAAGAAATAAAATAAGATTTTTTTTTTTCGAAAAATATTCTTGTTACATTATCTGAACATGTTAATGATGAAAATTGAATTTCTTCTTCATTTATTTTAGATTTTAAATTTGATGCTAATTTTCGATTTTCTTCGATTTGACGACGTTTTTCTGCTTTTTGTTCAATCTAAAAATAAGTTCTTTAAATTAATATTTTTGTTTGATTTTTATTTTATTTTATTTTTACCGATGAAAGTCGATCACATTGCATTCCACTAGAAAAACATTTGGCTAAACGACATGCTGAACAATTTCGACGTGTTTCAGATGTTATTTTACAATCATTTTTGTCACTACAATGAAAAGCAGTCTAAACAAAAAAAACATATTTTCATTTTGATAATGATTAAAATGTATAGAATCAAGATAAAGTATGTTTCATCCTTCATATTTATCTTGTCTTTTTATGATTAATCAATTTCGAGTAGGTATTAAGAGTTAGAAAATAACAGAAATTTCTTATGATACTTACAGGTTCTTTTCTCGCATGACGACGAAAGAAAGCTTTACAACTTTCACAAGCAATTGCACCAAAATTATATCCAGATGCTGATGATTCACAAACAACACAAATCAAAGAACCACTTTTAGATTTATTCTTTGGATAGAATGATTCGACTGGATTCTGAAAATAAAATAAAAACATTGTTTTTTTTGTTTATTAGAATAAAGAAATGCTAACTTGTTGATTCGATCTTTTATTATTATTGTTGTCTTGAGATGGAAGAACAATTTGTTCTATTAATGATATATTATTAGTTTTTTCAATTTCATCAATAATATCATCATCAGCAGTAATAATCATTACTCGTTGTCGTTTTCGACTTGGACTTAGTGATATGTTAGATAACATCATTTATTTAAAATAATTCACTTTTTCATAAAATTAAATTTTCCTAAAATAGAAAAAAAAGATTTATTTTAATTTAACAAAATATATATAAATGAGACATGAGATGAGTCATAGATATATATATATTGTATATGAGTCAATTGACAAAATAAGATAATAAAATTTTTTTTATCAATTCTATGTGTTTTATTTTCTAAGTTTATTGTTAATATTTAATAAATCATATACTAATATGTAACTTTGTTAGAACAATTTGAGAAGTTTTTCAATAAATAACTATTGTTTTCTCTGACAAATAGTTGAAAGAATAAAATCAATTGTAAACCTGGATAAGTTTATTCGTAAGAAAATGTTTACTAATGCAATCTCAAACTGTTATAAAATGAAGCAAAAAAATGTACTTAGCTTACAAAATCAATTCAATGACACAAAAAAAACGAGAGAAAAATGTTCACTACAAATTTTAACATAGAAACAAAACAATAAAAAATAAAGAAAATTTTTTCTCTTTATTTAATATTAATCTTATCGTAAAAAATCCTAATAATCTATGAAAAACTCAACTGTTTAAAAAATGTTAATTTTATTTTCTCTTCTATTTAGATTTTATTTCAATAGAAAAAATATAATACGAAATTTATTTTATGTTCACAAAACTAAAATAGACCTACAGACTTATTTCTAAACTAATTTATTTTTCAACAGAATCATCTCTAACAAGATTGACTTGATTATTATTAAGGATGTCGAAAGACGCAGTTAAAAATCTTTTTACTTCGACTGACTGTTGTTTTTTTGTTGTTTAGAACGAAGAAAAAGAAGAAAAATATGTCACTTACATTGTACCGAGTGGTTACGGCGAAAAAAATAATGAAGAGAATTGAAGAAAAATAGAAAGTATGAGTAAAAAGTATGGTCTTTTTTTGCATTACTAATAAGGTAGTTTGCACAAAATAATGACTAATCGAACTTTTCTTTTCTTTTTTTTTTTCTTCTTTTTTTTTTCAGTCAACTACTCTTCTCGTCTGATGAGGTTCATACAAATATAGATCTTGCGTTCTTCATTATGCGCACATGTATTATCAAAATAAAAGACTACAAGCGAACTTTGAGATTTATTTTAGTTCTGCGTCACCGCATCTTCTAGAATATTTCACATATTCAATATTAGAATATAAAAATAAAAACAAACTATTGTAGATTTATAGGAAGAAATCGATAAATTATTGTCTTAATACTTCATTGCTAATTTTCACAGATATTCGAAACGAGAATAATTGAAGAAAGTGAAAAATTTATTAAATTTCTCATGTTTACTAAATATATTTTATCAAACTGAAAAAACATTTAAAATAATTTGTAACACAATAGTGAAATAGATGAAAATATCTATTCGTGATAATCTAATATGATCATTCAAATCTATGTCTCTGTTCTGTCCTTGACTTGCCCAGTAAAATTAAAGGGAAATTCTAAATATTTTTATTGAAAATTGTCTAACTATTTCTGAAAAGATAATATTATAGCATTAAATACGAAAAGTTTGTGATTATTTTAATTTATAATGGCGAATATAATTCTGCAGTATCTAAAGCCATCGAGGAATTTCGTCCACCCATAACTAAAACATTTCCATTATTTAATATAGTTGCTGTATGAGAATATCGTGTATTAGTCATATTATTAATAATTGTCCAAGTTTGTTTTGAAGGATCATATAATTCAACAGTATTTAATATTTCATTATTAGATCCACCAGTAATTAATACTTTTCCATTATTTAATAGAGATGCTGTTGAATACCAACGTGTAGAATTCATATTAGTTGTACTTGTCCAATTTTCAGTGAATGGATCATATAATTCAGCACTATTTAAAGCATTCTGATTAAGACCACCAGTAACTAATACTTTTCCATCTATTAATAATGATGCTGTATGAGAATATCGTGCATTTATCATTTTACCAGTTATTGTCCAACTTCCTTTAAATGGATCATATAATTCCGCACTATTTAAAACCTGAATATTATGTCCACCAGTTACTAAGATTTTTCCATTTTTTAATAAAGTTGCTGTATGTTCTACTCGAGCATTATTCATACTACTAGTTTTTATCCAATTGTTTGTTAATGGATCATATAATTCAGCAGTATTTAAATAATCATTCCCACTTTTCCCACCAGTAACCAATACTTTTCCATTATCTAATAGAGATGCTGTATGATCAATTCGTTCATTATTCATATTACTAACAGTGAGCCAACTTTCAGTTAATGGATCATACAATTCAGTAGTATTAATACTATTATGACCATCATTTCCACCAGTAATTAACACTTTTCCATTTTCTAATAAAGTTGCTGTATGATGATATCGTGAGAAATTCATACTACTCGTAATTGTCCAAATATCTCTTGACGGATCATATAATTCAGCACTATTCAAAGGATTAGAAGATAATCCACCAGTAACTAATACTTTTCCATTATTTAATAGAGTTGCTGTATGAAAATTTCGTCCATTACTCATTCGATCAGTATTAATCCAATCTAAACAAAAATATTTCATTATCTTCCTTCAAAGTATTTTATTTTCTAGCTAAATATAATACTATTTCGATATAATATAGATATAAACAACACGTCTATTCTATCGTTCATAAAAGAAAGTTCGTCTTCCGACAAAGGCGATCATATATATATATATATAAATAAAATCAAAGTTAATAGTGAATTTTTTATTTTTGATTATGCATAGTTTACAAAAATAAATTGACTTTCAATTACTGGAACTAAACTGTTGAATAAATCTAATTTCGAATGATTCTAAAAGACTCTAAAATGGAATGAAAGTATGAAGATTGCCATGAAATGTAAATTAAGTACATGTATATATCAAGATTAAGATATGTTCCTTTAAAACTTACTTTGTTGTTTCACAGTCGTAGTAGTTATTGAAGATGTTACAATAGTAGATATGATTGTAGTTTGTGGCTTGATCGATACAAGAACAACGCATTTTAATAGTAGAGCAAGAGTAGTAATTATAGCAAGTGCTAAAAGAATAAAAGATATACCGATAATGACAAGTCTATAACTATGCCACCATTTTCGTTTTTGATTATCTTTCGAAATAAGTGTATCAAGTGATTGACTGATATACATTTGATGTGTTATTTTGAAATGTTAAATTCCAGAACAGAATAAATTTGAAAATATTTTATATTTATCTATCAATCGAACAAAATAAATGTAATCCCTTTAACATTTACATAAGATCTGACGTAATTCTAGTCGAATTTTATATTTTATTAAGTTAAATGTTTTTATCTTAACATTTGTTTTTATTAAATTTCAAATCTAACCTTTTCATCGATATTAATGACCGATTTGTGAACTCTCTCTTTTATTTCATTGTAAAAAGTATATAGAAGAAATGATCATTTAGAATAATATCGTGATGAATATTATCTAATTGGATTATTTATTGAAAAATACAAATGTTTGACAATAAAATAAATAGTTGAAATTATTGAGTAACGTTGATGATAACTTGATTAGATCTTATAGAATCTAAACGATGAGCTTTAAGTATTTGAATACCTAATTTATAAAATATAATTGTAATATATCCTTGAATATTTGTTTGTTTATCTCCAACAATTGCACCATGAATTGGTTGACCAGTTTGTCCATCTGTAACTTTAATTGTAAGTGGAGATCCAATTTGAATAGTTTTTTTTAATGTTTCAAGTTTAAGAAAATGTTTTTTATTAAAAGCATCATAAGCAAAAAGAATATTTTGTCCTTGTTTTACTTTTTGTTGACATCCACCTATTTCTGTCATTTTATAATCAATAAGAGTACTCCAATATTTAGAATCAGTTATAGAATTATTTTCAATACGTGTAACAAAATAATCATCATAAAGTTTATTATATGTTCTAAATGAAATAAGAAAATTAATTTATCTAGATGATTTTATTTAATATGTAGATTAACGTTACCCATCCCAAGTAAAATCATTTGTCATAGCAGCTAGATTTAAAGTACTTATTAATGTAGGTCCAGATATTTGACTAAGATTATTATTGGTTTCATCACATTTATTTGTTCCACCAGATAATGTTGTAACTCGATGTCCTTTTGTTGTTATTGATCCTTCAAATATTGTTTTTTCATTTCCTTCAATTCGAAGATTAACAACAACAACTTCTTCTTCTTCTTCTTTTTCAGCATTTATATTATATTGTACAATAATAAAAATTAAAATGAAAAACATTGATTGCATATTCAATTATTATTTGTTGTTCAAATTTCCAATTCACTCACGTTCTTTTTCCAGGTAAGTCTAAATAGTTAGAAGAATTCTATGGATTTTTAAATCAAATATTTTATTACTTATACAGTAAAATGTCATTTTTAATCTATTATTCTCGATAATATCTTCTAATCAATAGATAAAGTTTAATATTAATCTTTTCATTTGAGTTTAAATCAGTTTTGTTTTTATACTCTCAAAATAAATGTCAGAAGTTCAAATTGAATATGCTTTCAATCATTAACAAAAATATCAAATATTATGTTAAACACGAAAACTATATTCAGAATTAAATTAGACACATGAACTCGAAGTTTTCAACAAAATACAACTCGAATGATTGAGGATGTGAATGTGGGTTTCCCCCTTTTTCTCAGCGTTTGTAAATCATTTCCTATAATGTTTATTTTATATTTACATTATTATTCCATATAATATATTTATATAACTAATCTATAAATGATGAAAAAGGATAAACAAGAGAAGTATATCGATTAATGAAATGAATAAATAACGCAATGATAAATCTAGTCAAGATTAAAATATTATAAAAACAAACTTTGCTCAATGATGGGCATCCTTTAGTCTAGTGATACAGTACTTTATTCTGTTTGACAATATGAAAATAGACTCTTATAGATCAATTTATCAAAATACTTGTCTAGTATATGCAAGAGAAGAAAAGAAAAAAAAACTGTTTTTTTTCTTTCTATTGAACAGAACATAAGAGAAAAATGAATGTAAGAAGTAAATGAGACGACGAGAAATCGGTGAGACAAAAATGAAAAAATAAATCACTGTTCAATATGATCAAGACGACGTAGAAAAATCTCTTTATTTCTTTTGGCGATATTTTATTTGTCTAGTTTGTGCATACGCATATCATTCAGTATGAGTTCATCGATATTATTCAAAAGAATTTTAGTTACTCTCTTCGTATGTTTGAGTATACAAGGTTTGTTAGAAAATAAAATTGGAAGGATATTTATATATATATTATTTTAAATCTAGTTATCAATTGTAAAGTTTATCATCGTCGTCATCGTCGAGAGATTATTTATAATAATTATGGTGCATATAGTTCTCAATCAGATCTGGACATCTCTAATGGAATAAATCATAATAATAATTATGGAGGAAATGGATTGATTTTTAATGAAAAAGTTTATCAATATCCAACACCAGTCAATGTAATGAATGGAGGTTCTTATGATTCTCAACGATATGATACATATCCAGATAGAAATCGGGATTATTATCGTAAGAATAAAATAAATTTTTTCTTTTAGAATAATATGTTTACTATTGATTTTTCTTTCAAGCTAATCTTAATGATATGCGAATACCTTCAAATAACTTACAGAATTCGAATTATTATCAACAAAGTCATTTCAATCGGTTTTTATTTAATACGGGTCAATCTCATAAGAGTTCATCATTAATTATCAACTTTTGTTTTACTTTTCTTACTTTTTTAATTCTAGTTAGATTCTTGTAAAGATTTTCTTTTATTTAAATCAAGATTAAAATTAATAAATAGATCAATTAAAATATTTTGATTTCCTATTCATATTCAATATTGGATTTATTTTATTGTTAATTAGATAATGAGATTTGTAATCAAATAAGATAAATGTGTGAGAGTTGAATTTTGATAAAGATCAGTATTGTCTCACTTACATCCAGCGTAACCCGAACAAATAGCATGAAAGAAAGGGAAACAATTTTTCATGATGGCGCGCATGCATAAGGATTCCGATTACATTAGAAGTATAAAATGGACTTTTTCAATTCACTTACGAAGCTTCTCTGTATTTCTTTGTTTGTTTTTTTTCTAATATATATACATTTCTCTTTCTCTCACGTCGTGTTTAATTGTTCAGCACGTCTGGTGTTACAATTTTACTCTTGTTAAGCACATATCTTTCGTGAACCACATAATATAAGACTGAAGATTCCAGCGTATCTGATCTGAGATCGATTTTTAAGGGTGAAGAAGAGAACCTTAACATGCGGCTTGTCAAATGAAATAATTGGTTTTGATCGTGGTGCTGTTTATGTTGTTGACGGAATTTATAATGATAAAAATAAAGAACCGTTAAAATATAAAAAATCTGTTGGACAGAAAATTTGTCATCAAAAACTCTTCATAGAAAAATATCGCTGATGTACAATACAATTCATAGAAAAATAAAACCATGTTGAGATCGTAGGTGTGAGTGTATTATTTATATTTCATCTACTCTGATTAGCTGTTCATGACACAACCAACGTCGACATCGTTGTTTTTTCCAGTAGGGACAATAAATAATGTATTTGCTTACGAGTTTTATATGCGTTTTGTGAATGAAAATTTATTTAATCGATGTAGAATTTGAATTCAAATCATTTGTTTGATTATTTTTTGTATGATTAACAATAAGATAACCTCTTGACATTGTTGCTGTTCTATCAAATGTAGACATCATTCTAATTAATTGTTTTACTCCTAACCAATGTTGAGGATGTTTTGCATTACTCGTATCTAGGAGAAGAACTTGATCTGTTATTTCATCAAATGCAGCTACTAAACTAAAATGACCATATCGTAAAGGATAATTTTTATCATTTCCTTCAAATTGTCTCCAATAGTTAACAATAAGAAAGTTTTGCTCGTTTTTAATATCGCGTCGAAATTGTTCTTCAATTGTTTCATCTTCACAATGTCGAATAATCGATGATAATCCACATTTCCTAAGAACATTTGATAAATTAGTTAATGTGATTCCATGCAACATATAAGTTTGTGCAACTGTCGAATAGAGTGTCGATTGAGTCCATTTAGGAGAAGATGAAAGGGCATTCAATAGAATTGATGCACATGCAACACCACAAAAGTAATTTCGTTCTTGAGCTTCAAAATAAGGATGAAGACGATCGAAAGCGCAATGAAATGACCGTGCAAAAATTTGTTGACCAATGGGAGATGACAAAGGAGTTATCAATGACAGATACCAAAGATCTACAGGAGAACAACTTCGATGACGATCTATTGACATTTTATATCAAAATATGTTACAAATCAAGAAGACATCTTAGTTAGTTTTGCAATCTGATGAAATAGTTATGATTCATCGATGAACGATACACCAATATTTTTATTGAAGTGATAGAGGACACTCATTTACGTGTATCTACTATGACGTACTTGACTTCATCTACAAGCAAAATCTTCAATCTGAAATATTCTCGTCAAGATTGAATAATTCACTTTCTTATTTTTTTATAAGATTGTTAAGATAAAAAAAAAGTCTATTTTAATGTTAGTTTATTCAAATAGAATATTTTTTTTATTTATAAAATATTGATAAAATCTCAAAAAATAATCTTGAGTGTGTGTGTGTGTGTGTGAGTGGGTGTGGCATATGTTTCCAATGAAACTCCACAAAAATATAAACGATTAAATCAAATGTACGACAATGATCAAATTTCATCACTTGTCGAGTTTTCTAATTTAATTAAGCTTACGATTTCTTCTCATTGTATCACGTGATGAAAGTTAGCAGCGGATTCGAGTTTTTCCTGCTGACATTCGCTCATGAACGTGTGCTGGCTCTCTAGTTGGTTGTGCTGGATGCAGAATTAAATTCTGCATCGAATGATACCATTTAACTAGGGGGTCATCAAGCCAAAAATATGAATTTGGGTGAAAATACTGGGTGAAATGGGAGTTTCACCCAGTAATCCTTGCTGACATTCGCTTCTAAAGGTGTGCTACGGTTCTAGTAAGGTGTGCTGGTTGCAGAATTTGATTCTGCATCGAATGGTGTACTTGAACTAGGGGGTCATCAAGCCAAAAATATGAGTTTGGGTGGAAAGACTGGGTGAAATGGGGATTTCACCTAGTAATCCTTGCTGACATTCGCTTCTAAAGGTGTGCTACGGTTCTAGTAAGGTATGCTGGATGCAGAATTTGATTCTGCATCGAATGATACCATTTAACTAGGGGGTCATCGACCAAAAAATATGGATTTGGCTGGAAATACTGGGTGAAATGGGGGTTTCACCCAATAGTCCTTGCTCACATTAATTCAAACTTATCGAGGTTCAATATTATTTTTTATCTAGGAGATAATTTAGAATTGTGTTCGATTACTGAGTATTTAGTTTTTTGGTATGACTTCATTCAAAATGCTATCGACTGTTCACTTTTGAACCTTGTTCCGTATGAAAGTAGACAAATGCGAATAATGATGAATAGCGGTCCATTAGTTTTGATGGAAGAATCAAAGATGTTGACGCGATGGTATAGATATAAAGAAAAGAAATCGATGTACAATAAAACTGATTAATTCATCACAATTCCTTAAACACAGATCAATGTGATAACACATAAAAAGGTTTTTTTCATTAATGAGTTTTTCATATAGTCACTAGTTGTCTTTGATGTCACTATAACCGAATTGGATAGAAAATGACATGATTGATATGAAAAGAATAATGTCGTGCTAAATAAAGGTTTTGAACGTCTATGGAAGATGACGATTAATAGAAAAAAATCTATCCTGTTCAACTGGTTATTTATGATGAAAATTATATTTCCCCAAACAGTTATAAACCTCGAAGCATCATTTCATTATTTTAAATGATACCAAAAAGAATACGTATTACTTCTGTCGCAAGAAAAATAGTACTGCATCATGAGATTGTTTCTTTCTCTTGATTTTTCTAAAGAAGTACAAATAACATTAGAAAAAAAGTATTATACTCATTTTAAAAACGCGGATAAGGACAATTTTACTATTTTACTATTAAAATTCAATTCTGTAAAAATCACTTGATACAAGCGAAAATATTTGATGAATAAAACTATAATCTATTAAATGATACATTATTTCCCATCTTGAATATAGATATGTATTGATGCATTATTCGGTACTCGAATTGACTAAACAGATTGAATTTAAAAACAAAACAAAGTTAGCATGAAAGTGAGTGACAATGTTGTGCCAAGAGAATAGATGGACATCCCTTCCAAGAACCCCCCCCCCCTGCTTTACCGCATTTATCTTTCTCTTGTTATGTTTCTTTTTCTCTTGCTTTGCGTATCAGATATAGTGAGTTTCAACACAAACACTTCGGATGAAGGTTGGACTTAACGTGGTGATACAATTATTCTGAATTGTATTGGAAGAGTCGAGGATGGAACAGAGTCTGAACCTTAAGCTCAGTAAAGTAGCAGTAGGGATCATTTTTATTATTTTATTATTATTCTATTGCTGTTATACTTTACTTTTATTTATTCAATAAAAGATATTTATTCATTATTTATATACATTCATTCATTTTTCGTTACAAATATTTCTTTTATCTTATTGTTATCTGCAACCATCAATTACATAGAAAATGTTTCTTTGTAATTGATTTAAGATAATATTTACACAATCATGTAAATTAATTAGCTTTGAAACTTTTATATATCCGAGAAAACTATATCTCACTATAGGTAACTTTTCCACTATGTCGAAACGCATGTCATACACTTTAAAAATCTTCATGATATCGTTCCTTGTTTTAGACAAACCATATTCAAGTAGTTTACATCAGGTTCTGACTTTTTTGAAGATTTTTTCTAAATTATAAACAGTCGAGAATATTCATCCTTTATAAATTTATTTGACTCTATATTTGTTTTAAAAAAAATTCACTATTATCTAATGCTTCTTCTCTACAAAATATTTCGCAGACATCTTTTGTTAAACATAATAAAATGAACGTCTCACAAATTATTAGTATAGCATGTCTTTCTGTCGAAATAACAATGTTTGTTTTAATCTTTATATTTAATTTAATAAAGAGCTCACAAGAAATGGTTAATATTAAAATAAACAATTTTTGTTAAATATATGATAAAAATCATCTTTTTTCCTTTGAGTGAAGTTGGTTCAAAGTGAAATCTGAAAAAGAATATATCGAACGTTATGAACAGCTTCAGAGTGAGATTTATTTTATTTCTTGATTATCTGACGTATTCCTCTCATATACCAGGACAAGGAGAATTCATCTCTAACTTTATTTCACTTGCCACTGTTGAAGAAACTTATACTACTTTAACTGAGTAAGAACAAAACTTGCTTCAATGATATTTTCACTTCGATTATTTATCTTTTTTAGGTTGTATGACCAATCTAATCTGGTATCAACCGTTTAATTTTAATAGTATTTGATTCAATATCCTCATTTTATATATACATATATATACATTTGTATCTATGTATTTGTTTCTCGTTCTTTTTCTTCATTTAAAATTTACTTCAAAAGTAAATAATTAAAGAAGAGTAATAAGAATATTTTTTATTCAAACCAAATATATATATGACCATATTTTATTTATATTTAAATCAAAAGAAGTTAAACATATGCAATATTCATAATTTTAGATTAATTTCATAATTTTGTTTTCGGCTCAACAGAGTATGATGAATACAGTTTTGTTTAGAGAATAAACCTTACTCAAAATGATGTAAACAAATATTGGTTGAACTACAAATAAACTACTTCTTTTTATAGCCTATACTATCTTTACTAACTAATAAAAAATGAGTAAAATAAAAAAAATAATCTGTCTCTTCCCATCAACTTCAACATTGGCTAAATGAAACTGCACAGTGACGTTAGATAATTGCTTAACTGTTTTTATATCAGTTCAACTGCTCCTCTCCTTCCCTCAAAAATACAGTCATTGTGCTCCAGTATTAATTTTCCATCGATCATAACCATTTTGTCCAGTTAACAACGCTAGAAACCAACATCTGAAAAAAATATTAAATGAAATAGGATTTCACCCAGTATTTCACCCAAATCGATACTTTTGGCTTGATGACCCCCTAGTTCAAGTACACCATTCGATGCAGAATCAAATTCTGCATCCAGCACACCTTACTAGAACCGTAGCACACCTTCAGAAGCGAATGTCAGCAAGGATTACTGCGTGAAACCCCCATTTCACCCAGTATTTTCACCCAAACCCATATTTTTGGCTTGATGACCCCCTAGCTAAACTGGTATTACGAAAGATGCTCCCGAGACATTTGCTCTCGCGACAATTGCTCCCCGGACATTTGCTCTCGCGACATTTGCTCCCCACGGACATTTGCTCCCCAACGACATTTGCTCTCCAGACATTTGCCCCCGCGACAATTGCTCCCCGGACATTTGCTCCCCACGGACATTTGCTCCCCAACGACATTTGCTCCCCAGCGGTACTTGTTCCCCAATGACATTCTCTCTTCTATGGGATTCGCTCTTCAGCAGTATGAAACAGACTAGGGTGTGGGTGTTAGTGTGGGTGTAGGTGTTAGTGTTAGTGTGGGTGTTAGTGTGGGTGTGGGTGTTAGTGT